TTTTAAATGGTACATGTATATTAGTTAAGAAAAAGTACGTAACCTATTACAACGCATTCTATGGAATGCTAGATTATGTAATTCCACAACATCTTACCTACTCACTTTAATCAATGAGCACGACTGAAATGAAGAAATAGTAGTAATTAACAAAAAGATCACCTCCTGAGCCTCAGAAGGTATAAAAGTAGACCGTAAAATCGCCAGTCAAAGCTTCACAGTCTGTGTAAACATGAAGTCGAGTGATCCCTAAATGCAATGCCTCCTTCAACGCCAAAAGGTAAGTCATTGCCTCAGCTTAGAAAGGAGAAAGTACACTGAGATCCACCGCTTTGATTTGCATCACCATACCATGAGGTGATAGTATCTTCCAAGCACCAGTCGCATTGCGGGATTGATGACTAAACGAACCATCAAATATGACTAAGGAATCTGCTAGACCCCCTAGACGGTTGTGATGGTTGTGCATCAGTGGAGGACCTTCCGACTCCCAGTCTCCTAAGGTTTTGTTTATGAAGAGTGACTTTATTTTGGATAAGTCTCCAAGATACTGCTGGATCATTAGATTGGTTTTGCCAAATCTTGTCATTCCTCTCGATCCAAATCCTCCAAGTGATGCTTAAAAACAAATCAACCTCCTCTTTAGTGGGATGAGACTGTGTCCAACTAATGAACCATTGATGCAAGGAGTCATATGTAGAATTGAAAATGGAGCCAAATAAAGGAAAAGCCAAGGCCCAAATTGCCTGAGATGCGTCACACTTAAAGAATAAGTGCAAGCTATCTTCCTCCTGTCTACCACATCTGGGGCATAATGAGTCTACTTGAACACCTCTTTTGCAAAGTTCTGATCGTGTAGATAGAGCATTAAGTAATGCTCTCCAAAAAAGGAACTTGTGCTTGGGTTGAACTCTAGAGTTCCAGAGTCTCTTCCAGGCTAATCTCTCTACATTCTGGATTGTTGGGCTTGGCATAGGTTGTGGAAGGAGAGCATTGGTGGCCAATTGATAACCTGACTTGACAGTGTATTGGCCATGTTATGAATGAAGACACTGTAGCTTATCCTTGTGAGTCCTTCTTGTCAGGTCTATAAAAATCCTGGTAATATAAGGGATAATATGATCCTGAAAGATGGTCCTGAGAGAGTTAATTTTCCATTGGCCATTGGGCTTTATGAAATTGTTTACTCTCATATTCGAGTGGGTAGCCAAGATGGACTCATTGCTAATGGGATTGGCTTGACTTGGAATCCTGTTTGTAGCAATGAGAATATCCTTCCCTGAAACAACCTTCCATTTTGTGTGCTGGTTAAGTAGCTCTGCTCCCTACATGATACTTTTAAATCCCCAGGATGGATTTTTTGGAGGTCTCGGAGGAGGAAATGAACCATTAGAACAATATGTAGCACGAATAATTCTGGACAACAATGAAGTCGAAACAGACATAATCTTCCAAGTATGTTTTGCTAGTAGTGCTTGATTGAACTCCTTCGGAGCTTTTAAACCTAATCCACCACAAAACAATGACTTTGTAATTTTCTTCCAAGCCCTCCAATGGATTTTCTTATCTCGAATGTCTCTTTTTCAAATGAAATTGCCAATGATTTGATCTACCTTGTGAAGAGTATGAGAGGGGAGTTTAAAAACTCCCATTGGATACACCAATATTGAAGACAAAGTCGATTTACCCAAGGTTACTCTTCCAGGTAAAGACAACAATTTTGTTTTCCACGAGGCAAATTTATTGCTGAGCTTGGTGAGGAACTTCTTGAAGATTACCTCTTTCTTCTTTGAAATTCAGAGACATTCTGAGATATTTGCTTTGGAAAGGACCAGCTAGAATTTTGAGAGTAGAGTGAACAAAGTATTGCATATCCTGTGATGTATTTGCACTTAAAAGGATATAAGACTTATTGAGATTTATCTGTTGACCAGAGAAGGTGATATAGTTCTCAAGTAGGCCTGCCAGGGCTAGGACCGAAGATTCCTTGCACTCTATGAAGAAGAGACTATTATCAGCATACATGAGGTGGCTTATTCTTGGAGCTGTACGGCTTATTTTCACTCCCAATCCTGGAAAGTTTTGGATTTCAGATCTTATGGCTAAGGACAAGACCTGCTGGCACAAAATAAATGGATATAGAGATTATGGACATCCCTCCCTGAGACCTTTGTTTGGAGAAAATGGGTGCAAGGTCTCGCCTTTAAACTGGATAGAGTAAATAACTAAGGATACACAGTGCATGATAAGGGAAACCAACCATGTAGGAAAATTTGCTTTCTGTAAAACTACTTGGAGAAAAGCCCAAGAGACTCTGTTATATGTCTTACTCATGTCCAGTTTGATGGCTATCAATCCTGTTTTTCCTTCCTTCTTTCTGATGAATTCAATGATCTCATGAGCAATGAGAATTTTTTCACCAATTTTCTTCCAGGAACAAAGCCATTTTGAGACTCATCAATCAGATCATTCACAACATGCTTTAAACGATTTTTATCAATTTGCAATAATCTTGTACTTGACATTGCATAAGCTGATTGACTGAAAATCATTTGGAGTCACATTAAAACCAAATGGGTGTGATTCCAATCTGGGGGAAGTATTGGTTGGTGACAGCATCCAAGATTGTTGATTGTACTTCTCCTCCTATAGTCTCTTTATAATTCTGGTAGAATCCCGAGGTCATGCCATCTGGTCCCGGAGATTTCCAAGGAGACATCTGTTTAACAACAGTCCAAACATCTCTTTCTGTGAATGGAGTATTCAAGTAAGCAACCTGGTCAGGTGATAGACATTCCTCCGCATTGTCTAGGAGGCCAGTAAAGAAAGTAAATGCTTGAGCATTCTGCGTACTAGACTCTAGAGACATATAAATGTGAGAGAAATGGTCTTGCAACATTGAGGCTATATGAGCATGGTCCTGAACCCTATCTCCATTGTCAAATCCTCAATTCAGTAATCCACTTGTTTCCTTTTTTCCTGGCTGCCCATTTATGAAAAAGTTTTGAATTTCTGTCTCCCTGAATTGACAATTGAGTTTTGCCTTTTGTTGCCAATAGACAAGCTGATGTTGTAAAGCTTGTTCCAGTTCCATCCGATGGGTTTCAAGTTGGGTGCTCAAACCAGTATCAGCTTTATTTTGCTCCCATTGTGTTGAACTCTTGATAATTTCTCAGATAATTTAAAAACCAAGCTGTCGAGGTTGCCAAATTGAGACTTGCTCCATCTATGAATTTTGGAAAGAGTTTGTTGTAGCTTAACTGAGAGGGAATCTTGCTGAGTTGGTACACCAAAATTATTGACCAAAATCAAGCTTGATGTACCAACTCCTTGGAAGAAGGACAATTTGACCAAAATTGTTCAAACTTTTATATTCTTTTTGGTGGCCTTTTTTCCTTAAGCTTAACCAGAATTGGACCATGATCAGAACTATAATACGTAGGTTTAGAATAATGGCCTTGTTGAATTGCTCCAACCATTGTCGGTTAACAAAATCTCTATCCAACCTCTTAAAAATTGCATCATGACCCTGTCTTTTATTAGTCCAGGTATACCAGCAGCCTATGCTTGAGTTCCTCCAGGTCATTTTGAGAAAGGAATTGTTGAATTTTTCTCGTGTCTTGATCTTTGACTTGTCTGCCTCCAAACTTGTCTTCTTGATTGATCACCTTATTAAAATCTCCTAAAATAACATATGGATAATGGAGGCATCTAATAGTGTTATTCAGTTGAGTCCAAAATTGTGCTCTGTCTTGATGAGAAGGAAGACCATACACAAATATATCTAAACATTCCACTCCAGTAGCTTCACATACTTTAGCCACTATGGCATTGGAGTTTTGTAGAAGAACATTGATCTGAACACCACTTATCCAAAAAAGATCTAAGCCTCCACTAAGACCTACCGGATCTATTACAACAGAAACAAAATACTAGGCCTATATTGCTTAATTAATCTACCTAATACTTTTTTTCTATAACGTCGGGAACCCCACCAGAGATAGGTAAATCCACGCCTACTGCAATAGCATGCAAGCCCGGGGTGACAAGCTCGGGTGCGAAATCGGGGATTCATTAGTGGGTTAGCCATAACAAGTCTCTAGAGGTGCCAATAGGCAAGGTGAGAGCCAACCCCTCATTTTTTGTTAGAGTGGGGAATTGAAGTCATGACCTCCTCTTGAAGCAATGCACCAACTCCTCATTCGCTCCTAATACATGTTTTGAAGAGGCATTATTCATACCTCTACAATTCCAAGATAGAATATTCATAAAACCAAAGACAGTTGATTTGGTTCAACAGCCGTAAAACACTTCAGAAGGTTAGAGAAATTACCTTTCTCCATAGTACTCCTTAAGCCGCTAAAAGGAGCTGTTGTAATCGCCACCTTGGTGTATTCTGTATATGCAATTCCTGTCCAAATGGAGGCATCTGTTTCCATAAGTTCTGGCACCCATGTATTTGAGCATCCTCTTCTTGCAAAGTAGTCCTGTCTCACCTACATTTGTTTCTGCTTTCCGTTTGTGATTTAGGCCAGAAATATTGTGAATTTTAAGGGTGTTGTTGGTGCTGACACTTCTCTTTCTAATTATTGAAGATTTACCAGATTTTTTCAATCAACTGAGACTAGCTTTTTTGAATGTCACCAGCCTAACAGACGTGAAAATCTTACTACACCGCCACTGTTTGGTTGCATTAACCCAAGACGCGACTTGCTCACTGCTACTGACGTAATGCTTATTCTCCGTAATAACCAGTTTCACACTGACCTCATGAACACTATCTTACTCAACAGAAGTGTGGACATTGTCGTCTTCATCGGTCATGGCATCAAAGTAAACTTTTTTGCTTTTTATTTTTTTTGAAGAATATCGAAATATTGCAACTTGTTTTATAGGCTAAAAAAAATAATGTAATAGTAATAAAAATACAGTCTACAGCTAAATTACCAGGGGTATATTAGTAACTCGAGCAAAAAAAAAAAAAACAAAAAACATGTCGACAGGGGCAATAGAACAAACAAAATCTTCCAGAATTTCCAACTAGGACGCCATTCACCAGACAGCCCGGACTCCGGAGTTGTTGATTTCTTCAATCTTAATTTGTTCGTACAAAATCTCAATTTCCCTTTCCACTCTGATCGAATTCAAATTCATTGCGTCTTTTTCTGCATCCAATTCAAGGTAATCACTCATCTTTACGATCTCAATTTTCGTTGTGTTGAATTTCATCCAATGTATCTATGATTTTGTTTTTATTTTCTTGTAATTCATCAATTAGGTTATTCATTCGGAAATTTCTCGTTCTAATTCGGCAATTGGTTTGAATCTGAAGCGATTTTTAGGTGCGAACGGTTGAATATTGTCGCTTGAAGAACAATTTTGCGGGGAAGGAAAAATGAGTCAGGTTTTCGAAGGATACGAACGACAATACTGCGAGCTTTCGGCGAATTTGTCCAAAAAATGCACTGCGGCGAGCATGCTTGATGGAGGTAAAATAAAACCAACTTTCACTTATTATTATTTTTCTGAAAGAATTTTTGTTTGTTTTCTCCATTTTGTTGCCACATTAACATGTTGGTAGAGATTTACTAGGGAAAATATTTCTTCATTCGTGTACACGTTGAGAGATTGATGTTTATTCTCTTCGATTTATGATAGTTGATCTAGTGGCCTGCATTTAAGGTGTCGCATTTGTTGAGTGAATCTGTGCTCAAAGCTTCAGTTCTTTTTTTTTGTTTGGGGGGTAATTGAAAGTTGATTTCATACACTTAGATTTTAAGATAAGTACAATCTCAAACTTGCTGCAAAGTGAGGAATTTTGTGAACTGAAGATGTAGTAACACGTGTTTGATCTTTTGAGAGTCGTTTTCATGAGTATAATATTTGCATTGAAAGTGTTCACTTCTTTCCTCTTGGTGATATTACTGATTATGTTTCTAAAATACTGCAGAACAGAGAAAACAAAAACTATCTGAAGTTAAATCCGGATTGGATGATGCTGATGCTTTGGTAACGTAATGGTTTCTCTTTTAGAAGGTTTGAAGCTTTTATCATATTTTTAAGTCTGAGTTTTCATTAGGTCTGGTTTGCAATCTCTGCAGATTCGTAAGATGGACCTTGAGGCTCGAAGTTTGCCTCCAAGCTCTAAGTCCATGCTTCTTACAAAGTTAAGAGAGTATAAAACAGACCTGAATAATTTGAAGGCTGACGTTAAGAGAATATCTTCAGCTAATTTAAATCAAGCTGCACGAGACGACTTACTGGAATCAGGAATGGCCGATGCAATGACGGTACTCTCCTTGGTTCTTTTCTTGCTTGATTGGATCTTTCTTATTGACTCATTGAACTACAGTTTATTATGAGAAATTTTTCGCTCTCCTTGAAGTTGACGGTGTTTTGATCTCATTTGCATTGATGCTGTATTTCATAATATCATGGCCTCTCGTCAATCTAGTCATTCGCCTTATATGTTTGCTTCTTGTTGCATGCAGTATTATTGTTCAGTGGTCTCATAATATCTTCTCTGACATCTCTTATATGTTTATAGCCTGGTGATTTTAGTACTTGCTTTCTGTAGCTTCTCTTTATATTTGTGATATACTTTTCTTTGTATTTTGTTGTAGTCCATCTTCCACGATTAGTTACTAATGAGTTTATTTGAATTGAGCAACAACTCTCAATCAGATTCTTGAGATTTGCAATGTCACAACACCTTCGTAGATGCTGCCTTTTTTACTTTTATTTCTTGTTTTATTCTGCTTATATAAAATGACAACACATCATCCCTTTATGGAAAGGGTTACTGAACTCCAGGGCTAATTTTCCACTAGACTCTTTCTCCCTGACTGTACTTTTGAGGTAATTATTTATCAGAGAGAAAGACAAGGGGAGAAGGTAGAGGGAGCGTCTAAAGGCCGACAGAACCTGTTCCTATTCAAATTTGTTCTTCAGTCCAGAATCCCTTCCCATTATTGTAGGAAGCATCTGTTTTTCTGATCATGTTATTTGGTTTTATGTTTCTTAGGACTTAATAATTCTTTCCTTATCGAGGATTTCAGACATTTTAAATAACCTTCATATTGTACTTTTTGGATTCTCATGCAATCTTTTCTACTGCAAATTGGAGGGTGGAAATTATTAACCAAAAAAAGGAGGGGGGGGGGTGTTTGGTGGTGGAATTCTGCTTTTGAAAGGCACTTATTAATTAAGTTTACATCAAGTACCTTATTGAATATTGAAGCCTGATGTTAGGTGGCTGCTGACCAAAGAGGGAGGTTGATGATGTCAACTGAGAGACTAAACCAGTCTAGTGACAGGATAAGGGAAAGTCGGAAAGTGATGCTAGAAACTGAAGATCTTGGAGTATCAATCCTTCAGGATTTGCATCAACAACGTCAAGCTCTCCTGCATGCTCATAACACGGTATATATATTATCTTTTGTGTTAAGTGAATCTAACATGCTATCATAATTTTATGTACTTCTATATTGAAGTTGAAAACTCGACAGAAGAACCAGTTAGTACCTTAGCATTGAGAAGGACATGTATTCTTAATGCTCGAGGATTGAAAAGTTTCTTCCTTTGCAGCTTCATGGAGTGGATGACAACATCAGTAGGAGCAAGAAGATACTGACCAATATGTCAAGAAGGATGAGCAGGAACAAATGGATCATTGGCTCCATTATTGCTGTCTTAGTTGTCGCAATTATTTTGATTCTTTACTTTAAGCTCACTCATTAGTTTTCTATTGTTTGCTCTCGATCCATTGATTTCTTCCTACTGTGTGGTGCAAGGCTTTTACCCAGAGAAATCCGAGACAAGTTATCTTATGCTGGTTTGTTTATTCCGGAAAGACCTCCCTTGGTTGTTTATATCTTGTAATGGCAAATGTGCCCAATATTCAAATTTATGTCATTGAGATTTGGTTTCTCTGTGGACGTAACCCTTTCTCTGTGCCGATGTGTATAATTCTTGTTGCGAAGCCTTATTACATATCCCATTTTACGTTTAACATTTGTTTCTTACGCATGATTCATATTAATTAATTTACTTTGCTCTTCTTAGTTTATTTGAGCAAACTCCATAACTTAATGAACCAGAATCACAATTCCAAAGAAAATTTATGTGAAGTATGCTAGAGGCATCTAATTCACTGGAATTGTCATATGGCTGAACTCATGTCTATTGCCGTACATTTTGAACTTGCCCTCCTTCAAGAACATTAGAGAATAGAAAGATCTCCAGAAATCTTAGTCAAAAGCATTGCATAGGAGAAAGTCTCCGGAGGGAGAAAACAAATCTGCCTGGAAGGGAGAAAGACAAAACATTACTAAGATAAGGCCGACTGGCAGTGACTAAAATTACAACTCTTTTTACCAAGTTATAATTGCTGCCACTTTTATCTTGTTAACAGAAAAAATTCTCAAGACAATGCATCCCTGGTTTAACAGCTAGTTTAAGGTTTATACTATATAAAATGCACATTTCTTAGCTTCGCCACTACTAAACAGGCACAAGCTTGCAATCTGAAGCCATTCTTGCTGATTGGTGATGTGCCAGAATTGACGCTACACACCAAGCATGGACGAATATAACTATTTCAGCCAGGAATCTCTTGCATTGCTTCAAATGTCGGCACATCCACATTTTGTTAAAGCCCCTTGAGATCACTTCATCCTTGAAACAGAAGTGGTGTTGTCATTTCACAGCAATCTCCTCTAGAACCTCTTTGCACTCCAGAATATTATTGCTCAACATTGAACCACCAAACTCAAGTGCGATAACCATAGTTAGCCTGCCGATATGAGACAATCTAGTTTTAAGCCACATTTAAAGACTGAGGTATGTAACAAGTGGGCAGAATCAAGGAGGAGCGGACATGTTTTAAGTTCCACTTCATCGTTGACATACTGAGCTGTCATCATCAGGTGAAGAGTCCAAATTAGTCACTTGGTCCTCCTCATCTTCATCCTCATCTTCATCATCCTCATCATCTGCTGAAGCTGGTTGCCCATTAAGATCCACGCTTATACCATTTATTTTCCTCACAAATTGCCCCCTCACACGAGGTCTCCGTTCTGCAAGCTTCTTACGATTAACATACCTGATCTTCTTATCAAAACATCTTTCCTTCCTCTTTTGCCTAAACTTCATCAGGGCTGCCTCCCTACGATCAATTTTACTTACATTTCCTTCGGCAGAAGCTGTATTTCCATATGATGGCCATGGATGTGATGAAGACATTTGGCCTGGCTGCGCACACATACCAAACGGATAGTAGGGAAATGGGGACATCCCTGGCACATGGGGAGGACACTGTGGAATATGATGGTTATATTGAGGCAAAACAGCTGCATGGTTATGGAGATCAGGAAGGTTTTTTTGATACATTGGTGGTGCAGGCACTATAACTTGATTCATGACCCCGGGAATATAATATGGATAAGCAGTATGTTGATGAAACCCAGAAACATCATGGTGCTGCTCATTCCTTTGATGCATAAGCACCTGCGAAAACTCATTTGAGTTCCGCTGTTGCGAAAATTCCAGAGGCAAGGTTGGTGTACAGGACCTTTCCACGGAAAAAGAGTCAAGCATACTGTTACTGCTTGGATTATATTCTCCTTGTGAAGCATCATGAGCCACTCCGCCATTTTGTATAGGGCTATCCACAATCATGTGTTGACCCTGTGTCTCAAGCTTCTCTTCAGCTGTCATGGGCTGGGGAACACTTTCATGCAAAGGGGCAGCATCCTGGCTACTGTTTATTGGCAAGTTTGCTTTCACATATGTAAAGAAGGCTGAAGATTCACCAATCTTAAGTTCACTTTTCCTTGGAAATGACACCACTACTTGTCCTGGATACAGGCAAGTTAAAATATAAATCACCATTATGCAGAAATAATATGTAGAAGACCAGCCCACACGACCTCAGGGGAAAAAATAAATGAATTTGCAACCGACTGGAAGAGCAATTAAGGAAGACGCTGGAAGAAAATAATATTGCTAGCTAATAATTAAATCATTCAGTTCTTCTAATCGTCATTTCTTATGATAGAGGCAGAGAAATTCCAAGAACTTTCTTTTTCCCCTTTACCTTTAGATTGCCTTATTTTTCAATTAAATTGCCTATATAAATCCATCAGATTTTAATGAGAGGTGTTATGATGGATGATTAATGTATTAACATCAATACCATGAATTATTTCAAGACAGCTTGCAATTAGGGCAGCTGAATACAAATTGTTTCGTGTTAGACACAAACACAATTTTTACAATTAACTCATGCAGACAGGAGGTGCTTACAAGTCTCTAAACATGTGAAGCTCTTACCTGTTCTTCGATCTTTTATTCCAGGCACATCAGGGAGACATTGTGATGTAACCACAACAATGGTCTCTAAAGGAGCATCATTAATGGCACCGATAATCTGAATGATTGTCAAAATAAATAGAAATGAAAATCAGCAAAATTTAGAATGTTGCAACGTAAAACAAATTTCACCATTAGAGAAGTATATCACACTTCTGCCACTGTCATCCGGTCAACAATTACAGTCTCAGAGAAAATACTGTATTTTGCTATTTTATTAGCTTCTGTTTGATATTAAGGCTTAGATGTGTCTTTACAGTAATACTAACTACAAGATAAATAAAAACATGAACATGTGATTCAATGCCTACCGGCTACTAAAGACCAGAAAGGATGATGCTTGTGAGATAAGATGATAAAAAATGGTAAGCTGTTTTATTCCCCCTTGTCAGTTCTTGTGATAAGGTACTGAGGAGATCAAAAGGCTTAGACATTGACTTGATAACTTCAAACTATTGAAATACTGCTGAGCCATAGGGACAGCGGGGCTTTATGACTGAAAGCATTAAGTGATCAAATTTAAATATGAAAACTAAAAAAAAAGTACATAAATAAATAAAAGGGCGTCGATGAAAATAAGAGCATTTAGATAAATCTGCAACAGCTCGATTGCTTGAATCAGTAATGAATGCATTAGGAGGAAAAAGTGGGACTGTGGGAGAGCAGCCACAGTAGAAAGAATAAAAAAATGAGCTTAAGTGGTACGAAAACATGCTTAGGAAACTATTAGATGCCCCAAAAAATAGCATGGAAAACAAATATATCATTAACTCAGATTAAACGGAGGCATGGAAGAGCTAAAGTCAGTGAAAGATCCTAAATAAAAAGGACAAAATTTATTCAAATCTCAAAGACAAAATACATTTGCAAAACATAATGACAAGGACAGCGACATACAGACGAACCTACGTACTAGGATACTTGCTCAGTTTTTGTTTTGTGCAAATGGAACCCAGAGCATGGATTCAACAACCAATACAACTAAATGCATTATCCAAAATATACAATTAAAAGTCTCTCACCTCTTCTTCTTGTTGTGTTGATGCACATGCATCTGGATTAACACTCTTTCTAGATCTGTCATCAGTGTCATCAGAAAAGAGAGTGGTACTATTTGTATTAGCATCACTAGGGTCCGATACGACCAGATCAAAATCATAAGACATGATATTCTTCTCTGCTAGTCCAAGCTGAAAAATGTAGTAAGTGAAAGATAATTAGGTTACTATAGCTTCAAAAACTCTTACAGGGAAAAAGAAGAAATCATGGCAAGAGGGGCTTCAATATGTCTTCAGATCCATATTAAGAACAATCCTATAAATTTATCAGAATGCTAAGAAACAAACAACCCTATATAAGTTGATTTGAATCACTGTATTTAAAAACATGGTATCTGCATTGATTGACAAGAAACAATGAAGTTTTAAGAAAATAAGCACTCACGGTCCTCCTCCTCCTCCACATGTGAGTCCACAAGTTGAGAAGTTCATTGGTGCGCAATGGCTTGACAAGATAATCAGCTGCTCCAAACTTTAAGCACTTAAAGACAACAGAGACCTCATCTTGAGCAGACATCACTGACACAACAGAGTGAAGGTTCACCAACTATAAATATTAGATAAAAACATGAGAAATACAGGTTGAGCTTACTGATGACAGGAATGCGGCGCAAATCTTTATCCCTCATAATGTATTTCAACAGTTTCAATCCTTTAGACATGGGAAGGTCAACTTCAGAGAGAATTATATCTATGTCAGCCCCCTCGGCATTTAATGCATCAATCACCTGTCTGGGTGACCTCACAGAAGTTACTGGAGACAAAAGCCATGCACAAATGATAAATCAAAAGCCAGTTTGTTTCAACATTTACGAAACAGGGAAAAATTATGAAAAGAACCAGGGTCAATATGATATTGTTACTCAGAGAAACACGTTCTCTCAGACTCAAAAGACATTTTAAATGGACATCTGCATACACCATGAACGGAAAGTCGGATGAGTTTGTACTTCAGCTACAATAAGAAATTGAGTTTTTCACAGCATAATGAAGGCTGGTGTCTAACCACTAAATAACATGAAATGATTCCAAAACAAACTTATCTTCTCTCTAATGCTTTTGTTCTACAAGTATTAACAAAATTTAACAACCCTTAAGATCAAACCCGTGACACTCGAGGGAACCTCAGCATGTAACTAAATATCAAACTCAAAGACAAAGAAAGGAACTTTGAAGCAACAGAAATTGAAATAAAACAATAGCAACAAAAGAGAACTAGCTATACCTTGATAAGAACATTTGCACAGAAGTGTAAACACCTCCTCGGAGCTTTTGGAATCATTATCACATAGCAAGATCCTAACTTTACTCCTGTCAATGAACCCATCTCCATTCTTCCCTATTTCTCCGTTCTCCATCAAATCCACCCTCCACCAAATCTTTCTCACCAACAATTATAACCAGGGTCCAATCCAACCATTAACGAAATTCAGAACTACAGAATTCCCATCCCTAATAAATTAATCGATTCCGAAACCCCCACTCTGCAATTAATTACTCATCACAAACTACATATAAATCTCCCACCAGGAATCCCATCTCCCCAGATGCCAAAACTAGTAACTATAACAAATGAAAGAGAGAAATCAGTAGATTGCTACTGTTAATAGACACATCCATGGCACAACTTTACAGTTTTCCCTTACAGACAAAAACTGCCAATTGGAATTATCAACAAAAATGAAACCAATTAGAGCTCAGCCCTCCATAATTTAATTACAGAAAAGCCAAAAAACTTGGCTCCCGAAAATCATAAGGCCAAGTTAGATTCTTTCCGCTAAAACAGCCTGAAATCACCAGCCCAGAAAGAACATAACAAAATATCATCCCAGGAAGACCACCGTAGATCAGGCGAACCTTATTACCACTGTCCCATCAAATCCCATCAATTTTTTTCAGCTCACAGACAGACGGAAACACACACAAACCCACTTGAGAGGAAGAAAAAATGGATGAGTGAAAACAAAGCCTGTATCTTTCTTTGCTGCGTTGTACGTGAAGATTGGTCGTCCAAGTTCGGCTTTTTTGTTTCGGGGGGTGACGAATAATATTAATTTAATTGCACTTTTTTATCCAAGTGCCTTATTCTATAATGCGCCGGATAACTTGTCAAACATCTCAGCCGTTGGAACGTGGAACCAACGGTGAGGATCGAGAGAGGGTGGCGCTGGATGCACCCGGGCGCATGTTAGCACCGAGTATTACGTGGACATATAAAAAATCTGGAAAAAGTGCGGAAAAAAGCGCGTGAGGTTGGGGGATTTTTATGGCTTTGATTTTGGTATGGTATTTTTGGTATTGGTGGGCATAAACGGTAAGGCAGCGTTTGGGTGATTTGAGATAGGGAGAAGGCCACGTCATCGTTGGAAGATCACTAAAAGGGCTAAAAGGGTAAAGGGCAGCGAAGAGTGTATCAAGTTCAAGATAGAGATATTCAAGAATCATATGATGATAGAGGTCCAAGCTAACAAGTGGACCCTTGTTTTTCAAATTTTTTGCTTTTGTCTTTTTGCCCTCTAAGATGCAAAAATATGTGATAATTTTGATGATGATGATTAATGTGTTATGAATCTAAGAAGTTTAAGTTAAGCGATGTTGATCGAGATTTTAGTAGATTATGATTTTGTAATATTTGTATATAAAATTGGTATTTGATCTCACTGTGCAGTAGATTTCGTTAAATATGTTTTAACCTCTCATCATATCAAGTTCATATGATTATTATTGTTGTGATTTATAAAACTAGTTTAAAGTTTAAACTAAAATCAATTATGAAATTATCACAATTTTATTTTACACACTAGTGAGGACATTAGAGAGAAGTGAAAAACACGAGGAAGAATAAAAATGATAATTCACTAAATTCGAGGCAAGACTAAATTAAGGAGGAAGTACATAAGAAGTCATAGTTTCAGAGGCAGCATCACTACTACAGTACTACTCAACATAGACGACTCACGATAACATCCAAGTCTCTTTAGAAGAATTAGAGCAACTTTAACGTTGTATCAAAACATCAATTTGGTGAAAATTTTGATTTTTTTTTTGCTCCAATGTCATAGCAAAAAAGCAAAAAAAGGCAGCAAACTGATTCAATGACATTAGGTGCCTTTTTTCAAAAAAGAAAAAAAAATAATTTAAAAAATAGACATTAGGTGAAATTGAGCAAGTGCCGTCAAAGTTCTCAGAGAATTGCATAATAGAGAAGATAGATGAAAAATTATTACCCAAGAGAAGAAGATAATAATGAAAACAACTACTACATAGTTCATTAATTGGCTATGTTTGTAAATCTCATTGTAGAAACAAAATACTCCCTCCATTCGCCGTCCTATACTTTACACATACTTTAAAAAACTCTTAAATATGATAATAAAATTATTTGAATATCTTTAACTAACCCCATTAAAAAAATATCCACTAATAGTATTAATTCTTTTGAGGGTAATTTTGAAAATTTTAGACAAAAAGTACATTGAAATGTGAGAACGATACTTATTTTAAAATTTTTTCATTTTACTAAAACGACACTTATTTTGGAACGGAGGGAGTACCAATATTCACCTAATTACAAACGCTTTTTCTTGACACGTCATTTTTTCAACAACATAAATAATGTAATGAATTAATTACTAATTACTTTCAAAAAAAATAATAAATCGATCCAAAGATCTCGAATGTTTCGAACCTTTTCAATGTTTGCACTTTGTTCAATGTTAGCAATTTTTTTTTTTCATATACTAAGACATTTAATTGATATAGTTGGTGCTATTTTTATAGAATTATTACCATTCTATCTTCTTCTTCTTCCTTTTTTTTAATTTTTTATTTTTGGGTAGACATTCATCGGATGCTTTGATCATTATAACATTTTTGTTTTAGGATTTTTAGTCAATGATCTTTTGTGAATTTATAGGACGGTTAAAAGATTCTTAATAAATTTCAAAAATCTGGGAAAGGCTTGTCATTGATATTGGTGAAGTTAAGGATTAATGTCAGATTTTCTTCCATAGCTACAAAAGTCCTTATTCTAAAAAAAAAATAAAAATGATACACCACATGTATAATGAGGAATTTACTAGTAAATGAAAACATTTGTACATACTATTTATATTTCTGATATTGGAAATAAACTTTTTACCTTGAATTTAATGATTTGTATGGTGCTCACTCATTATTATTTTGGTCGTTTAAAATGTAACTTTGGATGAAAATGCAGCTATGAGCAATTTAATAAAAACATAAAAATTGAAAAAAGAAAAAATGCCGCAGACAATATGGAAAGTATTACCATATAAAAAAGCACAAAACACGCAGGGAGGAAAAGAAAAAAAGGGAAACATGACATCCAAAACCGCTAGAGGAAGGGCTTGAACCTTCGACCTTGTGGTTAACAGCCACACGCTCTAACCAACTGAGCTACTCCAGCTGTGCAATTAGGAGACCCCATAAATTTATAAAGTTGCATGATGCTAAGTAACTCTTGTATTTCCAATTATGAAGTATAGAGTCAGTGAGGTAAGGGTTAAACAAGTAGTAACAATAAAATACTTGCTGCCTTCACCCTTGGCCTCCTTCTTTATACCCAAAAATAGAATTACTTGCCAAGAAAAACATATTTTCCCATTAAATTAGAGATCCGATAGGAACACAAACATAGTAATACAGTTTTGCTTCCTTAAATTATTCTCCATTTCTTTGTCATCACTAAGTCGAAAAGAAAGTCCACATGATGATGCATATTTCCAACTTAACAAAGTGGAATAACGACTAGTTGTTGTATAGGTGTCTAACCAATTTGATATCCTGTATACTGCATACAATGTGCTAGTGCTAACTGCCACCGATACCAGCCATCCTTACAATAAGCCAAAACCTAGAAGAGGAGCATCTTCTCCATTTGTAATTCCTTAACTCTATCATAATACCGCAAAGCCATGGATCACTACCATGATCAGGGTTCAATCAGACCAAATCCACAATGCATGAGCATGTCGCCGCCTGATTTTAGTTACTGCCTTACAGAAGTGTTGTAACTTTAAACCCTTCCGATGAGGGATACGATAGGATCTCAACAGTGACGGAATCCCTTCTTGAATTGGCAACCACGTGAACCAGTGATCCTTGGACACAGTGATCAAGAAAGCTCAAATAAGAACAAGGGATTGCAGTTCCCCATGGTTGAACACCATCAATGAACTTTGTTCATGAAGAGTAGAAACCTGAAGATTATTTATAATCACTTATAAACATTCGGAGAGAGCAATTACGTGAAGGTACATGTGGATGTAACAACCTATCAGCGGTCAGTGAGATAAAAGAATGAGATCCTTGGTGCAATCATACATCAGATATTACCTGGAGATATTGCAAAATTCTTTTGCTTGGATGCAAGTGTACTACTGAAATAACTCTTTGTCCAACCTTCCATTCCCAAAATCAGTGACGCCTATGTGGCTCAACATCAATTGGGACATATTTCAGGCAAGGATGGAAAGATCATTGGCGAGACAACCCAAAGCTTTCCACCAGCTTGAACACCCAAACTCCGAGCCTATTCTGAAAGAGATGGAGGGCAACTTTAAATGTTAATAGCACAAATCGGACTCTAGTTTGCAGAACCGTAGCAGTTAACTACCAATTACAACAATTGTCACATTCTGATTATGGGTAGATATAAGAACTTATATGACAACTCAATTTAAGATGTGCATGACTACTTCCTCAGATGTTTTCTCCCGTTTCTTCTTTTACTTCTTTTACTAAGATTGAAACTAAAAGTACTGAAGGCAATAGTACATACAATTTTTTGTATAACAGGTACTATCAGTTTTGTATTCAATTTTTTGTATAACAGGTACTGAAGGCAAATAGTACATACATCCTGAGAATTATCAAACATGAGTAAGCTACAAAGAGGATATGCAGCCAGGTGGCCTTAAAATAGAGTTGAAGGATAACAGGCACTATCAGTTATTAAAGGAGATTACCATAATCGAGCACAGGCTTCAGATCCTTTTTTGGATCTTCTAGCATGAGGATGAGACCATGCCTTTAGCCAATACAGGACTTCAGACCAGCAGATATGGGAAAACGGATCACTCGTCACCAGTAATTACCACATGAGCATTCACCATTTCTGAAGTGATGAAATCTCTTCACATCTCTCACAATAATAACTCTATTTTCTGCCATCGACATGAACTTAAACGCATTGTGGCAATCACCACAAATACGAAGGTTCTTGTAGACCCTTATCGTGGCTCCAGGAGGAAGTTTCAAGAGCCCATACACAACAGCAAGCTTTTCACTATGAGTAGACAAAGCATATTCCTTTTGCTCAGACTCCATATCATGCAATACATATCTAGTATCTGGAACATAACCCAGTTTCCTCATTCTCTGTCCTAATTCCTTCAGATAGCTGTAAATTGCCACCATCTCAGGATGTATAGTATCATCGACCAAGAACACATGCACCTTGTTTTCAACTTCAATCCAACTACAAGCAGGCTCTTTCTTTACTCCACGCTCTCGCATTAATTTTCTGACCTTAGCTGCTTCATCCCAATGACCAGAGTTTGAAAACATGTTTGATAAAAGAATGTAGGTTCCATCATGCTGGGGAATCAGATTGAATAGGTGCTCTGCTGCTTGGACCCCTAAGTCTACATTTCGATGATTTCGACAACCAGCAAGTAAAGCTTCCCAGATTGGTGCCCCAGGCTCAAACGGCATTGAGTCAATTACAGATTTTGCTTCTGATAACTTCCCAGCACGACATAGTAAGTCCACTAAAACAGCATAATGATCTTCACCGGGAGTCATTCCAAAATTCTCAGACATGGAATGAAAGAGGTCGCGACCTTCTTCCACAAGACCTGCATGAGCACAAGCTGAAAGAACTATAAGGAAAGATACTCGATCCGGCACTATTTGTTCGCCCAACATTTCTTTAAAAAGGCTTAGTGCTTGAGCGCCACGTCCATGCTGGCCTAACGCTGCAATCATTGCATTCCAAGATATGGAATCTATGAATGGCATTGTGAAAAATAAAGACTCTGCAGCCTCGAGATCACCACATCTGGCATACATTGTTATTAGAGCATTTCCTGCTGAAAGGCTAGAATCAAAACCAAGTTGCAAAAGCTGAGCATGAAGCTGAGTCCCATGCTTCAAATCTGCAAGCACGGCGCAAGAAGTGATTGCCCCGGCAAAAGCGTAATCGCACTGTTCAATGCCATTCAATCTCATCTGGTTAAACACTTTTAAACCTTCCTCGCCAAACCCATTTTGTGCAAACCCAGATATCATAACAGTCCATGTTAAGGAATTCTTTTCAGGCATCCTATCAAAAAATGATTTTGCTTCATTGATTTTTCCTCTACTCACATAGGCTGATATTACTGTATTCCAAGAAATGATATCCCTGAACTCAGCCTTTTCAAAAACTTTACACGCTTCATCCACCTGGCCACATTTCCAGTATAATGTTATGAGTGCATTAATGACAGAGACTGAAAATTCGCCTCCAAACGTCGGTTCTGTTTTCACTATGTAAGCATGAAGCTGCTTTCCATGATGAAACAATCCAGCATCTGCACATGCACTAAGAATATTAGTAAAAGTAAATTCATCCAACTTTATTCCTGAAAGATACATTTTCCTTAACAACTCTAGCGCTTCCTGAAAACGTCCCTTGTGCACATATCCTGATATCATTGCGTTCCAAGCAACCACGAACTTCTCATTTATCCCATCAAAGATCTCCTTAGCAGCATCAAGGTCATCATTTTTCACGTAGCCCGTGATGATTGTAGTCCAGGTTAGTTCATCCTTTACCGACATCTCATCAAATAACTTCCTCGCTGATTCCAGTAAAGAAGAGGACAGTACAAAGGGTGAGGAAGCACACTTAACATAAACTGATATAAGAGCATTCACAACTGAGGTTGCCCTATTCGCCCCTGACTTAATCACTGAACTGTGGAGCTGCCCGCAATGCTTCTCCTGATCAGCTATAAGTGCCAAAGCAGCAAGCACACTAGAAAATGTAAAATAATCAGGCCATAAATGAACTGCTCTCATACTATTGAACAATCTGATCGCCGCATGGCCGTCGTTGTTATGTGAATAACAAGTGATCATTGCATTGTACATGACCGTATCACGAAAGCGCAGAGGCGTGCTATCAAATATTTCTCTTGCAAGCTTGGGCTTCCTGGAGGCCGAATATGCCGCAATCAGAGAGGTTCTCGCAACAACATCCGTGTGGGGAATTTCATCAAACAGCTTCTTCGCGTAGTTGACGTTAGCTGATTTGCAATATATATCAATCAGACGGTTAAGGATATGGCTCTTTGGGCTGAACCCAGAAGTTATCATGTGCGCATGGACGGTCCGGGCTCGAGATTCGGCGGCGGGACGGCGAGGATCGCAGAGCTGAAGCAGCGCCGCGTAGCGGTTGGCAATGGCCCGCATGTCAAACACATGGCGGGCGTTTTCTTCCGCCGCCGCAACGGCTGCTGCAGCAACACTCATGCTTACTGGTCGCTACATGTGTTTTTTAGAATAATAAATCGAGAAAATTTGCATAATCAAAGCAGAATTTTCGTATTCTTTTTGGTGGCGGGAGAGCAATTAATTGGAATTCTTCAATCCTGCTTTTTCTTTTTTTTTTTTTTTTTTTGCCCCTCAATATGTTCATGTATCCGAATAATACTAAAAATTATTTCCATATGCAAATGATTTCTAAAATACATCATTACAAGATTATAAACATTGTATTCTTGTTTAATCAATTAAACTAGATGTTATACCCGTGCGATGCACGGGATTAAACAATAATTTATTATTATTAATTTACCATTATTTTACTTTTTTGACTGTATCAATTATTAAAAAATCAAATGAAATATTAAAGAAATCAGTTTTATATTCATATATAATCAACCAAACATTTAACTTGCTAAAATTGATATAAGAACTCGAGCAAATACGGTATGGACCTACAATACCAAAACAAACAAAATGTTAGTACTAACGCCTATAAAATCATTATTAATATTGAAAAAATTTTTGTAATCAACAATATAATATATGCCTAATTGTTACAATTCAAGTTTAGCTCAAATGTTCCCAAAATGAAAAAAAAAGAAGAAGAAATTTGTGTACACTATTTCTTGTACACAAAAAAAAAAAAGAAAAAAAATATTGCAATCGAGCTTCAAGGAAATTCTTATACTTCCTATTTTTTTAAAACTTAAAGTGGGATCTCAATAAATTTTACTAATCCTTTAAGGGATAAGATAATTAGAACAGTCCAAATTTGAAAGACTATTGGACAATTACACTAAGTTTTATTTGGAGAATTTATAAGAAAATTACACCTAAGATTTTTGCTGATGTATCACTCCAGGGATAAATGATACCAGATGTTTGGCCCAGGCAGATGCCCGGGCGCCCCTTCTAAATTATTATTTTATTAAAATCTAATTGAATTACTATTTTTTGAGGAATTAATTTGGCGTATATATCATTTATGCTATGATTTGGGGCTTAAAAAAATATACCTATAAATTTGAGGTTATAAAGGAATAATAAATAATTAGTTTATAAGGCATTATTCTTAATTTCTTGATTTAGGTATTTTTATTTTTTGTTTATATTAAGCCTGCAAAACTATACGATTGGACATTTGAATTTGAATTAATATATCCATTCGTTTGAAATTTAACTGATCCTTATTTGTAGTAAAACATGTGTTTTTTTTTAAAAAAAAAAAATTATATAACTTCTAATTAAAAGAGACTTACACGTGGCAAAAAGACTCCTGAAATCTGAAATATGGTGCATTGGAGCCTAAACAGATGCATACTTAGTTGCCACATAAGCTTCATGTCTTCTGCTTTAATAGGGTAAAAGGGATTTCCTCTCTCTGGTTACTCTCTTTGAATATACTATATAGACTATAGATAGATAGATTGAGCTAATTTTATACTAGAGTCAATTTTCATTTAACCATTTTGTACGCAGTAATGTTTTACGTGATTTAAGGAAATTTTTTTACATTTGATTTTATCAACTCAAATTTCTTGTTTTAAGGGATTATTTTTATAGCTATAATTAAGGAATTAGTATGAAGTTTTAATTAAGGGATTTATTTATTTATTTATTTTATCTTTTTTTTCTGAATACCTAGAGTGCCACATGTCAAAAATGATTTTGTACTGAAAATAACTTTTGGCAGAAAAATTTTCATTGTGGTACTGACACATCAGCAGCTTGTATGCTGCTTTAATTAAGTAATATATATACTATAGATAGTATAACTAAGATAATTTATTTAGAATGAATTTATCTTTCTTTATTATAAATTTATCATATTATTTTAAAAATCTAAATAAAAAATATATATTACTATTAATGATTTGAGATGTGACATTATTTGTATAATATCTAAAATTAAAAATTATTTATGATATCATCCAGTTTTATTTGATTTTTCGTTCCCGGCTAACAGGATTGAGCCGGTGACGCAATGATCCCTTAACTTTACAGGTCCGGTTCTTAATCCCGGTTTAATAAACTCCCAGAAGAATTAATTTTTGCAGTTTGCACCCTCACACTTTGCAACCAGAAAACTCTCCAAAACAGGGTACCTATAAACTAGAAATTTAATTGTCACAAGAATCATAACAATTACTATTAGGACTCGACTGTCTTTGAATAAATACAATATCAACTTTATGCGTGTCCGTGTTCACTTCTGCAGCTTTCTTGTTCACTTCCGCAGCTTTCTTCTTCCCTTTTCACCTCAAACACAACCACAACCAGTAGGACCTATGTAGTAAACCTCGATGGAACAACCAATTGTACCACTATCACCAGCATCATCACCACTGTCATCACTTCCAACTTGAAATTTAGATTCAGCTACAGCCGTGGGAATTACAATTTTGGCAAGCTTTGCAGCATCTTCGAATGAAAAACAACAAAAACTCCTTGGTACCATTTCCCATTGCCATCCAAACAGTATAAACTAGGACCATTTTCGTCCCACCCTGCTGCCAGTGCGTACCCTGGACAGACCCCTCACGCCACGACAAAGATAGACGTCTAAAAATGGACAGCCAACTTGTAACCTCTGCTTTATCTCTTCTATCCCCTCCTCCTGTCTGTAATAAGTAACCTCTGAGAAATGCCTCTTACCTCCTGCTTGAGGTCTGAGAGAAATTCTTCAAAGTTTTTTGCCCTCTCCAGTGATCCAGCCAATCACGCTAGATTCGAAAACGAACCTCTGGGAAACCGGCTTCGCTGCGTATGTGCAAGCAACTGATTCATCAACAGCAACCACAACCCCTTCCTTACAAATAAAAGCCAGAACTGAGGTTCCCTCCCCTTTCTGATGCACGAACTTTTCCTCCAAATCAGCATCAATCCATCCAGTTAGATATGGCAAAAAAAACTCCTTTAAAGTCAAAGGGACAGCTCAACATCCCAAGCGACCAAGTCCTCAATATCACCCAAGGCCGAGTAGAATCGATCCAACCATTTCGGAATCTTTCCGTTAGGAGGCTATGTTACTTGGACTCGGATACGGGTGTCGTATCAGGTGCGGGGATCTGAGTGTCCGACTCGTCAATATTTTAGAAATCTTGGATATTTTACGCTAAAATGCCACACCCGACACTCATACCCACACCAGTGTCGTGTGACACGACACGACACGGTATTCTCCCCGAATAGAAGAGTCAGGGTAACATAGTTAGGAGGTAAGCGGAGCTGATCTCCAGAGTCCATCACCAATCTCAACTGCGCTCCGATCATTTTCACCTCCTGATTTCTTTCGGCAACCAGGGCACGATTTTATGCCTTTAAAAAAGAAAAACCGAAAGGGAATTGAAGCCCAGAATTTTTTTTTTTCTGGAAAAGGAAGCACGGAATTAAGGAAAAAAAGACAAGGAAATTGGTGGGGATTAGGGTTTTGGGGAGAGAATAAAGAAACGGCAAGGCAATATCTATCCTGCTTTTTCTGATCAAGACTTCAAGCTATTATATATGGTTGTATGTATCTTTTTCCTTTGGCGTCGACGTTTTTATCGGCCTATAAAACGCGACGAACAAGTTGACGTGAGAATTTTATTCTAATTTTTTTTTTTTTTTCAAAGAATGAATTGAAAGTTTGTATGGATTAAGTTGAATTAAAATTCATAAGAATTTTAATTTTGTAAGGTATTAACCTTGTGGTCAGGTTGAATGTTTTCCTACATAAATAAGCTAGAAGGAATCAGAACAATCATCATTGATACGTTGGCAAGTCTTATTCAGCATATTTCACAAGAAATAAAGCAAAAAAACACTCTGGGATCATAGCTCTGAAACATGTGGTAGATAATTTCATGTCAATGTGACATCGCTACGCGGTTGAGTTGATGGAAATTAGGTTGACATCAAACTCGCAAACTCTGATCATCATATTTTGAACCCATCAATCCGGGAAGAGCATTCTTGTAAAGCTTCATTCTTGCTGTCAAAAAAAGCCGAATATTACATGATGTTAGGAATCCAATTCAAATGTGTAAGTACAGAAAATGCAGAATAAAAGTACAGGAGCATAAAATGCTCGCCTGCGCTAAGATGATAAGTAACAAAATCATTCACCTTTTCCGAATGTGCATCCACAAATGTGAGAGCTCCTCTGGTTGTAAAGGCTTCAGAAGATAGTCTGCAGCACCAAGTCTTAGGCCGTTTATGGTTAAAGCAACCTGATCTCTTGTTGCTATAACTGAAAAGGATCGAAGAACAGGAGAGAAGTACTCCTCTTTGTTACATATTTTCCAAGATTGTGAATCTATATGATCTTCATAATGTAGGAAGAAAGAAGCTTTACTGATGACAGGAATATGTTGCAAATTCATAATGTAGGCAGAAAGAAGCTTACTGATGATAGGAATATGTTGCAAATCTTTATGATGCAGAATGTATCTCAACATCTGCCCTTCATTTGCCATTAGAAGGTTGACCTCAGCAAGTATAATATCTGTACGAGGTCCATCAGAATTCAAAGCTTCAATAATGCCAGTTTCTGTCCACACGGAGGTCACTGAAGAAAGGAAAAAGTAAATGAGCTAAAGATTCTTTAATTTATGTTTGGGAAAATGCCTAAGTTTATCTGATTACCTAACCAGAAAATTCATGCGTGTGTTATTAATTCTAATAAGCAGTCCACAGAAAAAGCAACCCAAGAACAGGATCATGTAAGCTTGAGAAGTAAGAAACGGTTTTTTGAACTGTGTAAACTTTTTGATAGAGATTGATCATCTGATACAGCAGAAGAATCCATGAAAAGTTTAACACTGGCTGTATATCATATAAAGGTAGTTCGTTATCTTGTTCAAAATAACAAGAAACTGCCATTGTTCTGTTTGTATGCCTTCCACTACCAGTACATGCATGAAAATATTATATACTTCCTCTGTCCCAAATGATTGTGCTCTTTGAATCCAAACTGGACAATCATTTCAGGACAGGGAGTATTTGCAACATGATATCAAGGGTGAGATAAGATGAAGATTTGCCAAGATTCAACAATGCAGTTTACTGATGTTAGAAACCTACTGCTTCTTTTGGCTACATATTACGCATTCATGCTCGAAATCCATGTACAAGCACTTCCCTGAAGACAATAACTGATTATTGCTGAAAACTTCGGGTTACAGCTGAACCGCTATCTAGAACAAATTCATGCCAGTTCAAATGCATCAAATGAAAGTTTTCTGAAAGTTATTCACAAAAACTCTAATATATTTAGTCTGTGAGAAAATGTAAACCTAGACAGCATTCAGAAATTTGGATTTTTCTGAGTGCTATGGAAGTTTTCAAATAGTTTAGCTATCTTCCCAGATTTAGATATAAGGTCTACTTCAGCTAGTGTAAGTACAAGCTAAAACAGGCAAAGAAGTTATACGAAGTTGGAGACATAAATTGTCCCAGCTACCTATTGATCAGACACAAGACAGCACAACATAAAAACAGTACCCTCTTGCATAATCCAGTCCGTGACATGAGCTATCTAGCCTCGAAAGAACAAGTTTGTCGGGGTCCAAAATAAATACATAAAAGTAACTATCAAGAGTGACAAAAAGAACATAATTCTGTCGTATGTTTCCTAAGCTAAACATGTTTGTTGGCAACTTTTTTATGTGGGAAGAGGGAGCTTGTGACTATTCCTCAAAAGTCCACAAGAAGGTCCATGTTACAGCAGGACTTGGTATACCATCTTCTTCAATTTGTAGACATTAAAGTAATCCATTCATAACAAACTGATTCACTTCAAACCAAAAACCAAGAGTTATCCCACTCCACCAAGTAAATAAAAGTAGAACTGTAAGCACACTAATGACTAAACAAATATCAGAATCACTCAGATGGCTACTCTGCCTCCTGCAACCTCAAGTAAAAGTCATAGAAGACACAATCTGCTACTTCTAAGCCAAGAAATAACTGTTAGATGTAATTTTGACCAAATTAGACTTCTGAAACAGCAGCGCATCAATTGAAAAGGAGAAGAAGTGATACCCTGCTTGTATGAGCATTGCGAGAGAAGAGAGAATATTTCACGACAGCTCTCAGCATTATTGCCACAAAGCAGAATTCGAGCTTTACTGCATTCGATAAAGTCAACTTTTGAGACTTTTTCCCCCCTATCCATTGCATACAATGAATGCAACTCACCAACCAAGAGGCCTGGATGAAAGAAGTATCTTATATGGAATGGATAACCAGCAAAAACACATGCATGTTTTAAAATATCTTCATTTTACTAGTTGCAAGCATGTCAGAAAAGGTAAAACCGTGCTTACAAACATGTGAATCATCCAACCAAGAGGTTGGTATGCCAAATTGTCATGGGGGGACCTCATTTTTGTGCATGAATTGATCATTTCGGGTGATCTTATTTTTTCCCTGTATCACCGCTTGGGTTGAATACAATCTACATGTAACTAATTTGAAATGTTAAAAGGCAGTAAATCAAAACTTGATTTAATATGAATTGAATCATAGTTGAAAATTACTTGGACCAAGCGAACGAAAGAGATTCAGGCAATATAAACTTGTTATGCATACTCATTCTATCATGCAGGATAACTTGCTAACTTTGCTTTTTCCGATCTCACTTTGCCTATTAGCTGATGATATTAAGTATGGGAAAATTAAGGTAGAGAATTTGATCTTTTGCAATAGCAGAACTGCTGTTGCAGTTAGTACAAATATCATGTTTGACGCATCATACTTATCACTTTTGAATGCTCAAAATTAGCAGTTACTGCTTATTCTCAGTTTTCCTTGCATATTTTTTAAGATACCCCTTAACCTGTAAAATTACCATGGAAGTTCGCATAAAACGACCAAATTTGGAAAACTAGATGAACTTTGGAGTGCATAATGGTGTTAACATGTTTACCTTCCCAGATTTGTACAAGTAGGAGAGATGTTAAACTAAACACAGAGGAGGACCTAATCCCGCCAAACACTGCACTTGAAAGTCTGTCCTAGACCAGACACATTATCAAGCATTTGTAGTTTATGTTGATATTAGTCCATATTAATTGTGCTCCAACTGTTTTTTCTATATAAATCAAACGTGGTGCACCCAAAATTTCCATCATTAAAAGAAGCTAAAATTGGATAAATCCCAAAATTTTGTTCTCTAAACAAGAGAAGACACAGAAAATGAATATGATTGCTAATCCCAAGTGTCAATTCCTAAATGACAACTTTTGTTCTCTAAACAAGAGAAGACACAGAAAATGAATATGATTGCTAATGATTAATCAACATTTTCTTGATGCTTTCACTTCAAGTTTGGTAAGTGCATCATCACACACGACAAAATGAAAGCTTTACTGGAAATAGGATGAAGAACAACTCAACCACATGACATAACTCTACCTGAAACTCCCTTATCAGATTGTATTTGTTTAGGGTGTTGTTCGCATCAAACTTGCCAACTTGGATTGTACTACTTTGAAGGATTTCAAAAAGGAGCAAGAAATTATCCTAAGACACTTTAGGAAATCTTCTACAGTCACCAGTTAGTATTACAGGTTTGAAGTGTTATCAGGATTGAGTGTATTAACTTAAAACACATAATCTGAATAAAGTTTTGGAAGTTGTTAATTTAGTAGACACTGGATTTCCCAACAACACTTATTACTTCTATCCAAATATCTTTTCTGCGACTCTGATTAGCATCAAGACTGAAGATATTTTGCTCATATACGAAAGTCAACAATGTGTTAGGCTTTACCAAACTCATGGGGTAGACCTAACAATCTGGTACTTTTGGCTCATAGTGTACTATGATGAATATCAGCTCCATAATTGGAGTCTCTGTACAATTTTCAGCAATAAATAACTACAGAAGAAAGAACAAAAACCCATACGTTGATGGAACGAAATAAATTGGAGACAGGAGGATCAACACAGCTGAGGAGACTGAAATTAAAAGAACAAGAAAGGTGCACTTCCATAATAAAAAGCTAACATCTTCAAACTATAAATCTTATATATCTTAAGTGCTTTTCCATATTCTATCATAGAAAGGAATCCAAACAAATACGCCCCTGCTATAAATATTTCTTTTGCAAAGGTACTATGTCGCCCCTGCAATACATATTTCTTTCGCAAAGGTTCTATATTAAATCAGTACGACATCTTAAGACAAGATAATAAGGGAAAAACTAATTGAGGATCTAAAGACTAAATACTACAACAAACCCTTTTTTACAAATACGAGCCACTTATTTCATAAAACAACAAACCCTTCAATCAATAAAGAAAACTATCCTTTTATAGAGTCTTCATGACCAGTGCAGCCTTCTCAATGGTTAGGAACAATCCAGAACTGTTGTCCATTCATTTGGAATCGAATAGTTACAAAACCAGAGAGGACGTACTATATCACCAAAAAACCATGTAATGATTTGTTACATGGAGATTGGAGAGTACTAAGACTTCTATAAAGTTACAGCTGATCGGCGAAAAATAAGACATTGATAAAGCCACTAAGTTTTGATGAACAAACACATAGACAATAATCATTGCGTTTGCAATTTCATTTCCCCTAACTCTTAACCAACTTACAGTAGCTTACTGTAACTTTTCAAGCCAAAAGGAAGCACTTGATTACTGCCCAGACAAGTGAAATCAGGCTTCATGGTGAAGATTGCAATTAAAATCAACCATGGGAGAAATTGTTACAATTTAAATGAATCCTCATCAACTTAGCAAAAGAATCAGTTACAACTCTCATAAGTAAACAATTGAACTACAAGTTTAGCAACAGAACAATGATAAGTTAGGATGAGAATGTACAGGTTAGGAAGAATATAATCCTTTCTGTCAGTTTCTGTCAGCTCGTATGTATGATCAACTTCTTTGCCACAAGTCGGATGCCAGCGTTCTGATGAAAGTCATATGGATCCAAGGTGAAGTATGCATCCAGATATTTTCCAGAAGTGAACAAGGAATCTAGTTCTGCAACGTCAAATTTACTGAAGACAAGCCTTTGAGTGGTGGAAGATTCTTTTTGATATATCTCTGTAGCCCAGCGAAGCATATTACCATCGAAGATGGTAGGTAAGCTGTAATTTCGTAAATAATAAAATCATAAGATAGTAAGCCTAAAATAACAAACAATTTGCATATGAGTACAAAAGAAAATTTCTCTAGGAAATTCCAATTTGCAGATGAAATGTATTCTACCATAAGATTAGAATACAGAGGAGAACCTAAAAAGCAATAATTTTATATAACTAACAAATGCAAATAGGGACAATTAGGTGAGAACCACAAGCATAAACATGTAACAATTTTCAGAAAGCTTAAAAGATTAGTGACCACAAATACTATCGAAAATGGAAAATTTTTGAAGTCTACTCAAACTCGAATATTTATTGTACTCTAACTGAGAATATTCAGACACAGAAGAAAGAATAACGTACTGCAGCCGCACTGTGGGATAGTTGAAGTAGCCTTCCTTTCTGGTAACTGAAGGCCTCCAATCAGAGGAAGCATTGCTACCAGAATCCGAAAACTTTTGAGCAACTTTGTCAACACTATCCAAAATTTCACATAAGCTTGGTGAAGCATCCACCACAAAACTCAACCGTGGGCGACCAGCACTATCAAGATATTTTGTACTAATCCCGAATCGCACTTTCAGTTGCCTGCAACAAATCTGTAATGCTATACTCCCATGCAGTATTTGTACCTTTCGGGTCCCACGATAGAAGGGTGCGAGAATTGCAGAGATAGAAGGTATAGAGATTTGATGAGGTTCCAAGAAGTCCACACAATCACTAGGACCTTCAGTTGAAGTTGTCATGGAAGATTCTCGAGGTGCCGACCCAGACTCCACTTCTTCCATGTCCTCTGACTGACGAGGTTCGCCATCTATTCCATTAGTAAGTGCACCCAAGTCAAAGGGGTCTGACCCGGCTAAGTTTGGTTCAACTAGTTCAAGAGCATTTAGATTTGTTATGGGAGTCGCAAGTGAGAAAATTGGATGAGTTTCCTCTGTGGGGATCACATGAGATGATGTTGCACAATTTTCAACTTTACTGCTAGATGGTGAATTGTTTGTGACCAAGCCCCTCTCTTCTGGAGAAGTTTTCCCGTTGCTGCGACTTCTTGTTGTAGCATTAGGAGAAACCCAACTTTTCTCAGTTAAAATGTCAGGAAGGCTTGATTCCTGAAAGTGCAGACAAGTTATACTAAGCACAAGAAGATTGCTATTTAGATGATAAAGAATAAAAAATCAAATCAATTTCCTTAGAGAAAGAAAACAAAGAAACAAGAAAACACAAACGTTCTGTCTCTATGTCAAACACCAACTAGGTAAGGTAACACATTCATCTTTGACGGGAGAATTCTCACAATATTGCTAAATTATTAGAAAAAAGTATCCACAAAAGAAGCTCATACAAAAGAAATGATATGAAATGTGCAATAACCACTCACATAAACTAAAAAAGGGACTTAAGGTACAGGAAATTTAGTGCCTAATTTCTAGCAAAAGACAAAAGGACCTGTATATTCAAACCAAAAGAACTCGTAGATGAGTGCAGGAAGATAGTGTCATTACCAAAAATAGAACAGTTGCACAATACTTCAGAACTTCCAAATTCATCCGAACATCATCTAGACTCCTGGCAGAAAGTAAAGAGCAACATGAGAGAAGAAAGGTTTACAACAAAAAATCTAATACTGGATTTTCTTTGAATCATAAATCCATTGCAGATACATCTTGGACAATCTTCTTGCAGAAGTAAGAAAATTACTAACAGTTAGTATAAAAAAAAAGGATGGAATTATACCTATGTGTTTGCTCACCAATTCCAAAATACGTCGCGAGACTGGCCATCTGAAAATTAATGATGATTCAATTTAGCTTGTTAATCAAATAAGCATATAGGTAAAGGATGTAAAACAATAATCTATGGATGAATAACTTGATAAGTTAAATAAGAAAAACAAGAACTCAAATGTTACACCACAATGATCAAAGTACAATTCCAGAATAAAGATAACAAGAGATCATATCGGACCTTCATGTTACCCGCCCTCCTTCCAAAGCGTTGAGTTAGCAAAGCAAGGGAGTCAATCGTTCCTTTAGGTTCTGGAGGTGGCCTATTTATCTCAGCAAATGCTTCTCTGATCCGAGCACAGTCAAATCTCAGTATATTATGCCCTGCCCATATCCTCCCTGTATAAAATCACATTGATCAAGAAACAAATTCACCGGTCAAGCACCATATACAATCAACAGAACAACACAGCCACGATGAAGACCATTAAAACCAAACATGAACCAAAATATCCCAAATTTTCCCAGCTCATATGGTATCACTCAAAAAAACCAAGTTAGATGTTTAAATTTCAGTGTGAATTTATGAAAATCCCACAAGAATACACCTTTTAAATCCTTCAAACATGCCCGGATTAAACCTACCTAAAAGCGAAAACAGCTGATAATTGCATTCCAAAAAATGAAACCCACTGGACCAAAAACCTTAACAATTGACTCCCACTTTTAACATGTCATGATAAAATGACCAAAAGATAAAAGAGACTGACCATGTAGAATATCGTAGACTTTATCAGCAATATCAGCGAAAGTTGGGGCGGAAACAACAGCGTCCCTGGTGATGCCATTACAACGGACAGAGAGATTCGAGATGAGTGACAAATCGGAGGGCTGAATCAGGGTGGAATAACTCTCCAGCTCGATTAATTTCCTAGGGCAAACCAAAATCGCCCCGAATTCCAAAATGGCGAAACCTTGACCCTGTCGGGTTGGAACGGTGGTTTCCACATCAAAGAATGCTATTTCAGACTTGTCGGAACTTAGGGAACCCATTTCAATTGAATCTGTGCAAATTCTCAGTTCTCTTAGACTTAGATGAATATTTAAATTTTGGGTTCTACTCTATGGAAACGAATTGCGGGAATGAAAAATCAAAAGATAAGGATGAACCATTTGTGTGTGACTGTGTGTGGATTTTATAGGGATTTCATGATTTGGGTGGGAAAATGGGATTTTTAAGGTTTAAGGTTTCTTTTTGAGGTTAGCTTGTTTGAGAAGGAGAAGAAAACGTGGTACGTAAAGGCAACCTAGTCAGAAAGCGTGTCGCTCTAAATCAGAGGTTTCCCCACTTCAAGGGAAATCAGAAATGTGGCTTGGGAAATTTTCATATTAGAAGGAAATTTGTTTTATACATTTATTATGCTTTAAATATTAAATAATTCATGAAATTCTATGAAGAATATTACACTCCAAATCTTATTACATTAAATAGATGTTCACTCTACTGTTTTATTTTAATAAATTAAGTAAATTATTAAAATCTTACGATTTTTTTTTCTTTTTGTTTGTAATAAATACAGCCACATTTTTATTAATTCACTTTCACTCAACTCCTCACCTCTTCCCTCTTTGGTACTTCCTCCGTTCTATAATTATTGTCCAGTTTGGACTTTAATTTTTTGTTCAAATTGTACTACTAGAAGTGAAATCTCAAACTGGATAATAATTTTAGGACAAAGGGAGTACAAAAATCATAAGGTGTATTAAGCGAGCATATTTTGAATCATAAAATGTTACCATTAATCACATTTGATGTGATTAGACCCAGCGCAAAGATCTTTCAACAAAAATAATTTTGACGAACATGAATTTCATTTTTTTAAAAATTATTATTGAGCTTGAATGGACAGGGAACTACATCTGTGATTCTTGTTTCTATAGTTTGAGTAGCAACTTCTTTGTATGTGTGTGGATTAACTAGATGCGCAAATTGACTTTTGAATGCGTATTTCTTGCAATAATCAGATGAATAAAGTGTCCGAGATTATGAAATTGATTCCAAAACCGAAGCAAGAAGATAAAGTCAAATCATTTGCATTAGGTATTGTTCTTTGCCTTTCCTGCTGGATATCCCCTCAATTGTTCCAAAGCCCAATCCAAACTATCAAGTAAACGATACCTTATGGATCACCCAATCCTAAGATTACCTTTCCGTCTACTCTTATTTGTAGCCCATGTCATCAATCCTTATGAATTAATTAAATTTGATTAGTCCGTGGTTAGACGATAATCCCTGACTGATATTCGGAATGTGCTAGTTTAATTTAATGAATTATTAATATATTCTTAAGAAAAGGAGAAGCTGGATATGGTTATCAGGAGTGAATTATAACGTGAAATCAAATAGCAAATGCACAAACATGGTGGGATTAAAATTCTCATGCATACTGAAACAAAATTAAATCATTGATCAATATATTTGGAAAAGGATGGATTATTTTTTACAGAAGCTCTCTTTGTGCTTTGTTTCTTCTTTTATTTATTTATTTATTTATTTTTGACGCAGGCAAATAAATGCAGAGAATCCAAATTGAACAAGTTGATAACTATATTTTATCAAAAATCAAAGGCCTTTCAAGGATTAAATGCAAGAATGCAAATCATACGCATATAAGTGATAGTTCTATGATCAACAAAGTGACTTAAGATGAAATTAAATTTAGTGAAAACAAGTCACAACAAATTAATCACGGTATGAACTATTTCGATTTTTCAAGAGCACTTCAGTCGTATGATTTGAGCATGTCCTTCACTCCTCAGTACCAAAACGATGCCAAGATCCCCACAGTATCAGATGTGACTATGTGAGCATGGGAAGGATTTATGTGATCATCCTCCAGTGCATCAGTTCTTTCTGAAACAAAAATCAGTTTGACGAATTTCAACTGGCAACTCAAGATGATACGTGTCCGGAGCCTTTTGTTTTTTCAGCTACTTATAACAAGTTACATTGAAATTGTCAAATTGAGGTTCAAGACAAACTCTTTTGTATTGAAGTACCCTGCAATTCAGTTTCTCTGGTGGGCAGACCAAGCATATCAGTAGGGATCGAGTTCTGATGGTTTATTAACCTAGTCATTTACCACGAAATCATGGAGTATTTCGTCCATTTGAACCCAACTTCGACCAGAGGGTTTTCTTGCTCCAGTTTCAGCAATCCTCTGCTTTACAAAGTGAGCGTCCTGCCACCTTTTAGCAGCAGAATATAAGTTCGACATGAGCATAATGTACCCTCCAACTTTTTCGGGTTCAATTTCCAGAGAAAACAATCGAGCTACATGTGAACAAAGCTCCATGTTTCCATGAATCCTGCAGCCACCAAGAAGGGCACCCCATATAACATCGTTAGGCTTTATGGGCATAGAAGCAACAAGGCTGAGCGCTTCATCAAACAGCCCTGCACGGCACAGGATATCAACCATGCAGCCGTAATGCTCAATCCTTGGTTCAATACCCCAAGTCTGACTCATACTCCAAAAATAATGCCATCCCTTGTCAACATTTCCTGTGTGGCTGCACGCAGACATAACACCCAAGAATGTTACTTCGTCAGGTTTAATATTGTCATCTGTCAATCTCTCCATCTCCTGAAACAATCTAATTGCCTCTTCTCCAAGCCCCTGTTTTGCAAAACCCATGATCATACTAGTCCATGAAACAGTGGTTTTACAGTGCGTCTCCCTGAATACCCTATGCGCTTCATCTATCGCACCACAACTGGCATACATATGGATCAATGCGTTGTCAAAGGAGATGAGTTTTGGTTGTCCTTTATCACTCGAAAACTTTAAGCCAAGAAGATGAATCCATCTCCCAGTATTCAAATCACCCAACTCGGCACATGCGGATAGAACCACCACCAAAGTCACCTGATCAAAGTCCACACAGGACCTGCACATACGCCGAAATAACACAAGGGCTTGTCTAAACCTCCCATTTGTTGCATAGCCATCAATCATAGTTGTCCAAGAAACTACATTCCTCTCAGGCATCTCATCAAAAACTTGACGGGCGCCATCGACATCCCCACATCTAATATACCCCGAAAGTAACGAATTCCAAGTCACAACATTTCTGTCGGTCATTTCATCAAACAGAAACCGGGTATTCCTAATACCGTTGTCCCCTCCGCTACACGAGTAAAAATTCAACAAATTAGTCTGTACAAACACATTAGAGCAGAACCCATGTTTCAAAACCTTTCCGTGAACCATCCTCCCTTCACTCAACAAAACCCCTTTGGTACAACCACAAATTACGTAAGAAAACGTATACCCATCGGGTAAAGCTTCGGATTTTCCCATTGCACTGAAAAATTCCACAGCTTTATGTGGTTCTTGGCTTAGGCCATACCCTTTAATAATCTGATTCCAAATATTGGTACTCGGATTTCGGACTTGGTTGAAGACGCGGGTTGCGTTGTGGAGATGGCCGGAGGAAATGTAGAAGGACAGGAGCTTGACAAGAATGAAACTTTTCTGAGTGAGGCCATTGGTAATGATTTGGGAGTGGATTTGGGTGAGGTGTTTGATGGATTTACAGCTTCGCAATAGGGCAAAGAGATGTTGTTGGAGTGCTCTGGAGTTGATTTGGATGGCGGGATTGGATCCTTCAACTAACATTCAAAATGTTCATGGAGGATTTTAGTGTGTGTGCAGTACTATGGTACTATTATATATAGGCTTATTATAGGGAAATGGATCGGAAAAAATCCTATCTTAACCTATGATTTTATTAGCCCAATTGTCGTCCATTGAGTAGTTTAGCGCCCAAAATGTCTGTCTGTAGCTGTAAAATTCAATTATTATTCATTTGATTCAAGAAATATAGAGGATTTTAAAGGGGACATCTTTTGGTCGTTTCCTCCATACTGGTTATCATTTCGTATTGGCTGATTCCAATTTCTATAAAACGTTTTTTCCTAAAAAAAAAAAAGAAACAAAAATACTCGAATTTCTATTTTCATTGAGTATCAAGTTTATAATAACTTTTTCACTATGTTGAAACGATATTAAGTTTGGTAAATCATCTTGGAGTCGTGATGTGCTCTCACGACTAATCGTTCACCTTGATATATGAATATAGTTTTCGCTTTTATTGCTTGATAAATGATAACAAAGAGAATATGACGACAAAAAAAATAATATTAAGCACTTGACTATATACACTTTTATGATATTATTGTGGTTTGAAGAATCCATTTTTGGTTCATTTCGACAACAAAAATTCTAGTAAAAATATACGAGGTTATACTCATAAAACACACCAAAAAAAGAAAAAAAAAAACAAACATAATTTTCTGGTGAGTTTAGTAAACAAGCAACCACACCAAAACGGTGCAAATAGATAATCACACTGTACTAAATGGCTCAAGAGGTTTTGGGCACAAATACAATCCTTCATTAGCTCAATCTTCTCTGGAGCATCTATATATGCCATCATCATGAGTATTGAGCCTTCAATTATCATTTTGATCTTTTGTGCCAATGAAACAGAAATGTAATCTCTGAGATAGGAAAAGGAAACGGAAACCAGAGATCCAATCACCTAAAATGACACTAATAAGTTTAGTCAGCCCTCCCCTCATTCCATCTGTTGTCAGTTAGGAAGGAATCTTGGTATGCTTAATCAACTTTTTCGCCACAAGTCGGATGCCGGCATTCTTATGCTTGAAGTCATATGCATCAACGGAGAAGTACGCATACAAAGAATCGCCTGGAGCGAATAGCAATTCCAGCTCTACCGGATAAAATATACTGGACAAAATCCTTTTCCGGCTGGCTGATTCTTCGAGCCATATCTCAGTATTGCAGTACTGAAGCGAATGATCATCATCAGGTATGATGGGTATTCTGCATTTTCCACAGGAAATGAATCCGAAGGTCAGTCTAAAAGGACAACTTGAAAAAGAAACATGGTTGAAAAGTGAAAAAAAAAAAAAACAGATTATGTAATGAGTATTCAAAAAAGACTACAATCTTACTTTCTAGTATAGTCTGTATCATCATTTACATCCTTACTTCAAACGCACTTCATAAGTAAAGGATCCAGCATTTCGGGGGACAGAAGGCCGAAACTGAGACCGGCTTCCAGAATTTTGAAACACCTTTCTGGCAAGGTTGTGGACAGCATCTAAAATCCGGCAAAGGTTTGGTGATCGTATACCACAAGGTTCAATCGCGGGTGGCCAGCATTATCAACGAAGTTGGGATTGAACTTCAATCCGTAGCGCACTTTTAGATCCTTGCAACAGATATGTAACTCTTCATTCTCATGCAATATTTTATAGAAGGGATAGCGCCAAAAAGCTACCATAATAGAAGGCACAGAGATTTCATTAGGTTCTAGGAAATGAAGACGATCACTCGAGCCCTCCAACGCGAATGTCACAGTTAAATCTTCGGGTTCTGAATCAATCTCATCTTCTTCCACATTTGCAATGCTAGATCCAACCATATCTGTGACATTTCCATCCAATCTGCGACTCATGAAAGGTAAGACCTTCGTCCAATATGTCAAGAAGGCTTGATTCCTGAAGTATTGACAAAATCAAGGCAAGTAAAATCATTTAGGAAGATACTCTGGAAAAACAAGACAATGTATCTTGTTCAATGTGCATTCGAACTAGAGTAATTAACACCACACAACCATTCGATATTCTCAAACACCAAAAGAGAAAGATTTAACGCATCCCTTTTCAATCATTCTTTTTGAGATATTGCTTACTGTTGTTTCAGGAACTATCTAAAATGCAAATAAACTAGGTATGCAATCATTAATTTCACTAAAATCACATTTCAAATGACTAAATTATAAGGAAAGACAACTCCTAAGACAACAAGAAGTTCAAAAACGGTATGAAAAGAAGTACTCGGCCTCCATTCCAAAATAAGTGTCGTTTTAGCAAAATAAAGAAATTCTAAAATAAGTGTCGTTCTCACATTTCAATGCATTTTTTTTCAAAAGTTTCCAAAATTATATTCAAAAGAGTTGATGCTATTGGTGGACAAATATAATGGAATTGGTTGAGGATGTTCAAGTAATTTTATTACCCTATTTAAGAGTTTCTTAAACTATGTGCAAAGTGGAGGACGACACTTATTTTGGAATGGAGGGAGTACATCACTGGAAACCAAGCAAGAAGGATTTCTAGCAAAATGAAAATCTGCAACGTGATAGTCAATGGCCGCACCAGACAGTCAGGATCAATATGATGCAATGATAGTAGAACAACAATTATAAACCATGAAAGACACACAGCTCTGAAGGATATAGCATTATAGCTAGCTCGAATTCGAATAACTTAGTGTAAAGAAAATGTAAATAAGGTCTTTCCGGAGTGACAGAAAACCAGTGTCATTACCAAAAATGAAACTGTAGCAAAACGCTTTAGAACTTCAAGATTCATCCGAATGTCACTCAAACACCTGAAAGGACATAAAAAGTATCGTGAACAAGATAATGATATCATGCACCAAACTACCAGTACCCTTTTAGTAATTCTTAATTTTCATTGAAACCTCCTCAGACGTAACATCTGGATCTAAAATGATTCTTATTTTGATTTGAAACGTTGCCAAGTGGTTTACACCTGTGTTCTTGCGGACCGATTTCAAGGTAATCTGCAAGAGTGGCCATCTGAAACATAAAGTAAATCATTAGGCCATGTACTAAACTAATTGAATTAAAGCATTGGTTCACAGTGTTCTCAATTTCGATCAAGTTGTTACATGAAATCCATAACTATTTAGAAGTACGTATCTCAATTTTGAGCAGTGGAATCATCAAAATGGAAAGATGTAAAAGCTCATTTATGAACAACATTGAAAAAAGGATTAGAATATTGTACCTTCATGTTACCAGCTCCCCTGCCAAATCTTTTAGGTAACAATGCATAAGAATCAAACATTCCTTTGGGCTCAGGGGGCTCTTTGTTTATCACAGCAAATGCTTCTCTAATCCGAAAAGAATCATATCTCTTTATAGTGTGCCCTGCCCATATCCTACCTATACAGGATCAAATCAGATAGAAAATTATGGGAATATTAGTGTATACATCTCAACGTTTATATCCTACTAGCGAATTTATCCCAAAATTTTAGAATTGGTTAATTACGTTCCAAGATTATCAAAATTGAGCAGATTCATCCCATAACTCACAAACCAACAAAAATGACATGATATTACAAGTAAAATAATTTGGATCCCATATTTAACATTTTTACTTCTATTTTTTTGAATTTTTAAAATTTTGTTAATTTATTGAAACAAAAACAATATTTAAAAATGGAGAAACTAAAAACTTTAATTTATTTATAATGAATCTAATTTATTTTATAATCAGATTCATCTTAATTTTTTGATAAAACTTAAAGAAAGTTTCCAAAAAAAAATTCTTTATTTTGAGTGAAAAATAGAATGATTATGCTTTCACACACACACACACATATATATCTTGTATTCAAAAATTAATTAATGTTGAGTTTATCCAAAATTATAAATTATTTCACTTGTGATGGATAAATTATTTTGATTAATTAAGTAAGTTTTTTCGAGTTTTTTTAATCTGGAAAGTTTGCTTTTTTTAATGAACTAAAAAATGACAAAAAAAATTAAAAATAATGAGAAAAAAGAATAAATATAAGACCCAATGAATTTTTACATGTTATATCAGGTCATTTTTATTGTTTTACAGGTCATGGGATAAATCTGCTCAATTTTAATAATCTTGAGAACGTAATTGATCAATTTTAAAACATTGAAATGAATTAGCACTCTGGTATAAACGTTGGAATCTATCCACTCATTCACCCAGAAAATTATTCACAAATGAAGTCGCCAAATTTGTTTCTTGGAGATTATGGCCCAAATCAAATCGAACAGAGTTCCAAGAATATGAACTTTACATATTAGTAGTTTAGTACATTGGTCATTATTGGATTTAGGGCTTTGGTGGGTGGATCTTAATAACTAGTTTAAATTTACAATACTAAAAATTACGAACTGTGATGAAAATGTGAGATTCTATCAATAAGGTACAAGGTGTATCAAAACTATGAAAATATTAGTTTTTATCAAGAACATTAATTTTGTTCGTCCCCTTTTTTTTTAGAAATAAAATTTATTCATTTACTAGAAACCGACCAACAACGATGGATAAGAAAAGATACAACCAGAAAAATACAATTTACAATTGGTCATAATCATAGTGCCTTTGTTGTGTTTCATATGGATAAACCTATATAAATCTAGCCTATCAAGCAATGGTTGTATCACGTGTCGAAACAAAGATACAATACTGAAGATCAGTTGAAACTCCCAAATCATAGATCTAACAACTAAATCTATGATGACTGAATCTTTTAGAGCCATACGAGCGAACTCCAACGAACCCGCCGCCGTACCGGCAAACATAACCGAAAAAAATGTAGCCATATTAGCGAACATCATCAGGGAAGTCGCCGCCATACCAGCGAACATCCAGTAGAGGGGATTATAATTTCATTTATCGAGAATAAATTAAATAACAATAAAAAGTATAAGGATCGGGACAGAATTATCTCTCCTATTCTTTCATGGTGGAAAGATGGGGAAAAAGATGAAGTTTTTTTTTTTTAGGGTTTTAGGGTTGGAGAAGGAGAGAGGGGTGGCCAAGAGAGTGTTTTCTAGTTTATTTTGTTCGTCTCTCTAGTGATGAAAACATGTGGTCCTATTGCACGTATCGTAATTTTGTTTCGGCACATAAAAAATCACACCATTCAGAAGAGGACTCGTCATGAGATTTGCCCGGGGTGGGAGTTTGAACTCATTATTGTGGATTTGGAGAATCTCCTTCCTAGTCTTGGTAAGGATGGGGGCTTTCGACTCGAACTTTGGAGATCCTATGTTAAGCTTCTTCGCCTCCGGCTTTCCAGCTTTCTTCTCGCCTTCTCCAAAAGCTTCCCTAGCTCTCTTCATGGATTCATCCGTCCGAATCTCCTTCTCTACCGTCTCCCATAACTTCTGACTGGTGGTCGGGGGCTTAGCGTGAGCTTACCCCTTAGGGTTGCACCCGTACCAAAAGGGGAGAGGCCATTCATGAACTCCACCCTTACCACCAGGTCATCCACTTGGTCTATCATCATGAGCTCCTTCGTAAATCGTTCATAATACTGCCTCAATGATTCGTTGCGACGCTGTCGAACCGACGGCAAGTCGTGGATGTCTGGCTCTCTTGTTGGAAAAGAACCGAACATGGAGCTTTCGACCCAGATCCGCGTAGGAAGTAACGCTTCCAGGGGGAGGCTATCAAACCAAATTTTGGCAGCCCCAGTCAGGAAGGTGGGCATCGCCTTAGCAGAGAACTCCCGAGATGAATCCTGCAAGTCCATGGCCGCTGTGTAATCGGCCAAGAAGCTTATCGGACAAGGGTCACCTCCGTATTTAAGAATATATGTCGGTAGCTTCAAGTTTTCGGGCCGTAGAAAACACCTGATATGTTCGGCAAAGGGCTTCTAAGCAAATCCCTACTGTTAAGTATAGCTTCGAGCCGGGGATCTGACACCCCCTCGCGGTCCACCCGCGGCTCAGGTCTTGGTGGGGGTTTCGGGTCCCAGTTTCCTGGACCAGTCGCTACCCTGGGGCCCTCCCTTCCCCCATAAAGATAAGGCTGTCGTCTGGGCCTTCGCCCTTTCCTTCATAATACATACTTCAAATTTACGGAACTGCTCCTCGAACCCAAGGAACCTCCCGGCAAAGGTCTTCCAGAAACAATCATCATGGGATCCTTATTCGGGCGAACAGGACGGGCGAGGACGCCGGGATGGCTCCTTACTCATTTCGGCTTCTTTACTGGTCCGGCGGGACCGACTCTTCCCGCGTTTGGCCGAATCATGACTGCGGCTCTTGCGAGGGTCGCTATGCCTCTTGGAGCGACTCTGACGATCATTGGTCTTAGAAGCTCCTCCGGTATCTTCATTATCCTGGCGATCCCCTTGGGATCTGGGAGATACGCCGGAACTCCCTCCAACTACCTTCGACCTCAATCCAACCCTGCGACTCGTTCCTTCGTCGGGCCTCATCCGAGTAGAGACCATAACTCTCGTAGAGCACTTGGGCTCACCCTTGTCCAAATGGGAACAAAGTCCCCACAGTCGACGCCACTTGTCGAGGGTAAATCCCAGACACGTAGAGTCAACAGTCCAACTCGAACGGGGACCTGCAAGACGGGGGTTAGCACTCCGAAGAATGAGTCAGTGCTAGAGAGAGAAACAGACAACTAACACACTTAGAGAGAGAAACGATAGTGTGGAATTACCTTTGTAATAAATGTACAAGGAATATTTATAGGTTCCAATGGGACAATATTTGTGGGCCCTCTGTGTTAGGAGGGGCAAAAGTGTAAATAATCACGAGTAACCCCCAATAGAACCGGTTGGGCCCTTAAGAGGAAGAAATGGACAGCTTGGGCTTATAGTTAGGCCCAAGCTGTGGAATCAGTTGGACTGGTCAGTATTGGCCCTCAACAGGAATAGTTTCCCATTATAGTGAATTAACTTCCAGAAGAAGTATATGAATACTTCGGACACTTAACGATTGTAAGATCTCATTACCGAAGAACGTGGAATCGATCAGCAATAAAATGTAGACATGAAAATTGTTTATACTGCAGCAGTAAAATAAAGGAAAATGAGGATCATGAAATGAAAGTCAGTTGTAGATGTAGACATTAAACTTATTGACCACAACAAAATGAAAAGACGTAATACACAGTTGACGATGTGTACTTAGAATTGAAATTGCTTGCGAACTAGAAGTTTGGCAAGTGATATACGGGTATATTTTGGCGGGTGATTGTGCAAAAGATTATCGGGCACCCTCTTTGTTGCACAAGTTTTTCCCAAAGTCGATTTATCTTGTGGTGGATGAAAAGGAAAATCTTCTGTTATTTGCTAATCTGATAGAAAATGAAGATAAGAAATGCGTCTCTTTATTATAGAGATCACTTAGTACGTGATCCTTAATAATGACGTCTATATGAAATCCCAGAAGGATTAAAAATAAAGGGACATAATCCCAATTCTTGAGAAATTAATTCAAAGGACTTGCGCAAGTTATAATGTCTTCATGTGTCTAGATATTTAGGTTCATATTTTTTCAATATAATAGATACGCTATATTTGTTTTTATCTAGATATGTTATGTTTGTTTGTAACATGATTTTCTATCTGTTGTTATGATCATATTTGAATGATAGAATGATAAATAATACTTGAGTGAGTATTCATAAGCCATATGTGCATTTACAATTTTGTTAGTACTGAACTCTTGTAGAGTTTCAAAAGGCCGAACATTATCGAAACTTATCATGAAGTTTAAATAGCCTGAATTTAAGTAAAACTCTAGAAGAGTTATATAAGAGTTTTGAACACTTCTAAGGAAGTTCAAAAGGTTGCTACTTACCTAAAGCAAGGATAATGAAAGATCTTGAGTAAAATCTCGATCTAAATAGTTTAACCTTCGTATATTCAACACAGGTTGAGCGCACTTGCTTAAAATTCAATGTGTATATAGATCCTTCTTCTTGACTTTATATTAATGATGTAGACCGATTTGGTCCTGAAGTACCACATGAAGTTTCGGTTTATCATCAATTAGTCAAGACTTGGATATTGTACATTGATACCTTCAAGATATGATGGTCATGTATCTCCATTATTATAAAACACTCAAGATTATACAGGTATATGAAGACAACCGTCTACATGAGAAGTCGAAGTAATCTGTCTATTATTGACTTAAACAATCATAAACATGGTCAATAACTTGACATGCATCGAGAAGATTATAAGTGGCGTACTTAACATGGGGAGTAACCCACGCTGTACTCGTTTTCCCTTAATCGAGGTTTTGTCCCAATGGATTTTCCTGACAAGGTTTTAAACGAGGCATCGTCACATTCGAAAGTGTACTCCTTTTCTTTCACTAGGGTTTTATCCCAAAGGATTTTTCCTAGTAAGGTTTTAACGAGGCATTATTCCGCAAAGATGGACATTCAAAGGGGGAGCATTATGAAATATTTGATTTAATTTGATTGAATTTCCATAATTAACATGTATTATTTTATTCACCATCAAGGAGATATGATTATGTAATATTTAGCATTAATGATAGGTGATTCATTTCCCAGTTTGATCCTCTACTTCTTGTATAAATAGAGAGTTTATTCACGCTTCAAAATACATCTGAATACAAATTTCTTATTTCTCTCAAATCTCTTATCTCTTCTCTTTGTTTTTATGCTTAGTTTCATATTAGTAGTCTAGCATTAATTTTATAACAAGATGTGTGATTTTTTTTTTCAAAATCTTCAAACGAACTTACCTCTTAATTTATTTTTTATTTAGGTTAATGAAGTTCATACTCTTTTTGTTTTGTTTTGTTTTGTTTTTTTTTTTTTTGTTTTTGGTGTTAAAATGTTTTTTTTTAAAACTTTTAAATTGGAGTTAACGGTTAAAAGTAATCACCTTTAAACATTTGCGGTTCCCCATTTCTCATATAAATAGGACAATTTATTTAAACCGTGAAATTGGCGCCCTCTGCTCCTCTTCTTCTTCCAGAACTCTCTGAAATTATAATGAGGGATTGAAGATTTTAGGCTAATCCATGGGGAGAACGAGACCCTTTTGTTACATCTTCCGATGTTCCAAGCAAACATCGACTTTCTTTGCCTCTTCCAGAAAATTCATTCCGACAAAATTCGCTCCATTTTCCTGTTTCTCTACAACTGCCACTTCTTCACTCCCCATTTCAGATTCGACTGATGGAATACACGAATCCGGGATCCCAGAGCAAACCCTTCAGAATTTAAGCTCCTTCTCCGTTAGATTAGATCCATTTAGGAATCTTGTAGATGTCTTGATACATGTCCATTCTCTTGGAGACGTCAGGCGTTTGATAAAATGCGTCATTGAAGATTTGCTCAAAACCTGGGAGCCTAAGAGTGCTTGTTCTTTTCTTTTCAAGTTACTTTGTCAATTAGATAGTGTAAGAGTGAGTCCTAAGGTTTTTGGGGTGCTAGTTATGTCGTTGTGTGAGATGGGTTATGTGGACGAGGCCAGTTGGGTGTACCGGAAGCTTGATAAACTGACAGATGTGGCGGTTTTTACTGTCCTCTTAGATGGTTTTCGTCGAAAAAGGCTGTTTGGAGTCATGTGGGATATATATGAGGATATGGTGTCACGTGGTTGCTTGCCGAATGTAATCACTTATGGCGTATTGATTGATGCTTGTTGTAGAGAAGGCCGCGTTGACAAAGCTAAAATGTTATGGGAAGAGATGGTTGATAAGGGTATTGAACCCACAGTCGTGATTTTCACGACCCTCACACATGGTTTCGGCTGCGAGGGTAAGATGAGTGAAGCAGAAAGCATGTTTAGGAAGATGAGGGAGACTGGTGTTCTTCCGAATGTCATTACATTTTGCATCCTTATGGATATGTTCTGCAAAGTTGGACAGTTGAAAAAAGCTCAAAGCTATTTTGCCTTTATGGTGAAGTTTGGCATTGTTCCTAATCAGTTCATCTACAACTCTCTGTTATATGGGTGTTGTAAGGCAGAAAACCTCTCCGATGCACTGGGTATATTTTCCATAATGGAAAAAGTTGGTATTTGTCCCGACATTTATAGTTATGGTATTCTCCTGAAGTGCTACTGTAATATGCATAAAATGGCAGAAGCAGAAAGCTTACTGGATAGAATGAAAAATAATGGAGTCATTCCGAACTCTGTAGTGTTTAATACTCTAATAGAGGCCTACTGCAAGGTAGGAAGCATGGATAAGGCTGTGGAAGTGTTTACTCAAATGGCAGAAAAGGGTGCATACCCCAATGTGATTACGTTTTCTACATTGATTAATGGTTACTGCAAAGTAGGTGATATTGAGGCTGCCATGGGGTTGCATAATGAGATGGTGATAAAAGGTTTGGGTCCTGATATTTTTGTTTATACGTCTTTAATGGACAGGCACTTTAAAGATGGTAATCCTGATGCAGCTCTCCGGCTTCACAAAGAAATGATAGAAGCAGGTGTCACTCCCAATGTTGTCTCCACTACTTGTCTTATTGATGGATTAGTAAAGAATGGAAAGCTCAATCAGGCTATTGAAATTTTCTTGGATGCAAGGAGGGTTGAATTCGATCGAGATAAAGTTGATCTCAGTAGCAAATATTGGTCTGCCAGAGCTGTCATGTATTCTTCTTTGATTTGTGGTTTGTGCAAAGAAGGATATATACTTGAAGCTAGAAAATTTTTCGTAGATATGCGACGGGATGGACTGAGACTGGATTTTGGAGCTCACTCAACCATAATCCAAGGGCTTTGTAATGTGGGTTATGCGCAGGACGTGATGATGGTGCATGCTGATATGATAAAGCAGGGTATTTTACCGGATGCTTCTGTGTATAGGGTCTTATCTAAGGGTTATCAGAATATTGGATACCGAAGTTCAGCTCTCAAATGTCAGGAGGACTTACATGACTAGTTTGTTTCAAAGGCCCTGGAATTAATCAGTATGTACATGACTTTGCTGTTTAATACAAGCACGTTGAAATCTGAAGGTACTTTTCCTTTTCAATCTCAAGGAACAAAGTAAATTCAATGAATGTCAGGATAACTATTCAAAATTTCAAACTATAACAATGAAATTGAAGGATTATTTTCCTAGCTACATAAGCAAAGGTGAGAGTCTACGACATTAGATACCGTACTAGGGCGGGTGGCTGCACAAGGTGCGGCCTGGGTAAATAGTAGCCCAGAGAGTGCTCTTATTCAGGAGGAAAGAAAGGAAGTAGGTGTATTCTTGCAAAGAAAATTATATATGAATCTAAAATTAAAATGAAAGCCAATTCAACACTAATACGTATTTTAAGAGAAATTCATTCAACCAACATACATAAATTTAAACAATTGCAGGGCTCTGATAAAATATGTCACACTCGATCACTTCTCTATGTATAAAATCTTTAATAGATTGAATCATCTAAAACTGAAATTCTAATCACGAAACTCCAGTTGCCAGTGAAAGTATTCCTTTTGTATCAATTGGCAAAGGAGGAAAGAGGCCATCTTGTGAAAGTTTTAGTCTCTCTAACTGCAAATCTCTCCTCCCTCAAGAGAAGGTTATCCACTACTGGCATAGTGACACCCTGCAACCAGAAATATTGATTAGTGATTTGGAAGCATGTAAAGATTCCCAAAAGACAAAATCATAATTACAAGAACCCATATCGGCTGAATTTACACTTATATACACATTGTCATTTACCCTACTAAGATAAACAATATTGTTAACGAAACACACTTGCAATTTATCTTCTAGACTTCATGGACTACAAGTTGTAGAACAAAAGGATAAATTCAAATCAAACAAATTCCTATTGAGATATAACACACATTCCTAGTAAAACCAGCTGCAGCTTAGCTACCCGTTAAATCCTTTTCTAACCGTCTTGATGTTGCATGCATAGTAACAGCAAGAACTAACCCATGATTGTTTGTTACGAGTAAAAACGGCAACACGACATTTGCTGCAAGTGGTGTTGGCGCTGTTGTTGCTAACCACCAAATCACAACGAATACCAAGACTGCTTTCCCACCGTGTCAGCCCAAATACCTCCTGCAACCTGATATCCAGACATGAAATGTAATAAAGTTGAAAATTGTTCCGGACATGTTGGCAAGGAATCATGAAATACTTTGAAGGAAATAGAAAAAACAGAGAAACTACTGTTCAAGGAAACTTAGGATGGAAGTAACAGTATTGCTTCCGAGTTTCCAATTATGGGAATTTGGTAAGATTTTTCTTCCGATCTTACCTGAGTGTCCCCAGAAAAAAAGAAGATTGTATCAAGCCAACAATTGAAGTGCCCAATCCAACTCAGAGACCATTCGAAGTATAGCAATACTCATGTTAACCTGCACAATAAAGAAACAAAGAAGCATATTCACCCAGCGCTTTGGGAACTCTTCCCACCATGGAATCTCATCAATGATGACACCACCTTCATCAAATCCATCTCCTTTCCTCAAAGTGGCATTGCTTTAAATATCGCCGAACTTTTCAATGACTTCTGATCCAAGCCAGCGACATCGTATGGCTTCAATTTCATGTCTGCCCACACTCTCCAACTCTTCCCTCCTCCTTCCAAACTGCCAGTACCATCACCTCTCCTACTGTCACTTGAATGAAATTCCAAAGAATTGGCTGGGTCCCATAATTGATTGTATTGAAAAATCTTAACCGAACAATGTAAAAAACAGCCCACGTAGAGTAACTGACAATTTTATTTCCCTCGATGAACAATAAAATCCAGGCCGCTCTAAATAAACATGTTTTAGCGTGACAATATTCGCAATCTGGATTATTACGTAGCAAATCAGGACATGTTACTATATTAGCTAATGGATCAGCAATCACATATGGCTCTTCTACTTTATTAATGAAACTCAACTGTTTTTCCTCTCTCAATTATTCATTTTTCATTTTCCTCAGGTCCCAAAAAAGAATATTTTCTTTTGTGCAAATTGGTATCAACAGCAATCCTGGAGAGCAGTCAATGACAGAACCAAAAGGTAGCGTAAACATTTTCGCTCCTAAAACAGGGACTTAATTTAAAAAACAATTTCAATCTAAAGATATCAAAGAGGTATAAAAATTTTTACTGTAGAAGAAATATATTTTCCTTTGGCACGAAAAAATCAAAGATAAGTACCATATAAAAGGCAGGGGATGCTATGTAATATAGAAAAAATGCCAAAATAAATATTTTCCAGATCACTCAAAAAGAAATGGAACTTTCATTTTTGGAAGAAATCAAATATAGATGTTTTCTTTTCTCGTAACAAAATTAACTTGTTTGAAAACTTTTGCAAAATAGCCTAAAACTATAACATAATTTAACCAAGGGCCAAACAAAAAATGAGTTCACTTTGAAAGGAACAAAACATTTGATATTGGAGGGCAGAAATTTAACTGAAGAGCCAAATAAACAATGAGCTTACTTTATAAAGAACAAGACCATTTCACTCTTGAGGGCAAAATTCACGGGAAAGATTCATGCAACAGTGGACTAAAACGAATACTCTAGGACAACATTTCATAGAAACCAAAAAACAAACACCTTGGATGCACAATCGGCACTGCTAAAACAGTAGAAAAATACGAACTAATTTATTAATCCCCAACAAAATAATCTGTCCAAATTCCGGAGAAATTAGCAAGTGTAAAACAAATGAAAACTAAAAGTTGTAAATTAGAAGGTGCACAGTTGGAGCAACACAAATACAATCTCACCTTAGGCTAGTTTCCGGAGGAAGATCTAAATCGACGACCTGAATGAGACCAAACTTTTCTTTTTTCGTCTCTGTTATTGCCTTACCGGAATGAGGATCCAAAGATCTTCGAAAAAAAAATCCAGATTAAACCAAAGAACTGGTGTAAGGAGTGAAGTTTTTTTTGAAGAATACCCTTCTCTGTAGGGAGTGAAATCGGAGAGAAACGAAAGGGTGAGGGTTTAGGGTTCATATTTCCTTAGGGTTCTGCTAAGTCTAATATCATCAAGACTATCGTTTTGTTCCTCGAATAATGGAGGGAAAACCCCCTAGGCATCTAATATATATACTCGAGGTAAAACACCTTTTTTACTCTGGAAGTTAAAAAGTCGATTGGACAATGACGCCGGCCTTTTCTTTAAAAAGTAATGGGATCATAGAAAATAAAGTTGAAACTCATAGTGATAGAGTATAGTGATGATTGATGTGTAAATTAATCACTCAGTAATTTTTAAAAATTAATTATTTTTGGACCAAAAAGTTATTTTTAGAATGATTAAGGTATCAATGAAAGATTAATACATCAATCATTGTGTGAAATCAATATGGTGTTTTAAAACGTTAATCATTTTCCTTTTGGAAATATATTATGCTATTAATCCATGCTAAAAATGCCATACGTAAATTTACAGAAAATCGTTGCATGCTGATGAATTACTGCCTTGCTGATTCTATTCACAGTTTTTCCTTGTTTTCCTTTTTTTCAGTTTTTCTATTCCCAAATAAACGGAAGATATTTTTGGATCTTTTCCTATATGATGATATATATATATATATATATATATATTTTATGGTTTTCATATCCACCGTTTTGTATACTACATACATAAACCTCAACATCAACTACAAATTAGCCGCAGTAGCAATTTGCTGATTTTCTCCCCCTAAACGTATGTTCCTCTTCCGCTCTCTTGTTTGTTTACTTACTTTCAGAGTTTCAGTTTGATTTCAGTGATTGATATATTTTTATTTAAAGCTTTCTTCAAATGATTTTTTTAAACCCATTAATTGCTTCAATTATTGGTTAATTATGATGTGTTAGCATGGTACATATAATTACTATTCATCAAATTATACATTATGAAATATTATTCGTTTGCAAGTACTGTCTCACCAAGCCCAAACATAAAAGTTAAGCATGCTTTATTAATCCTACTTACTAGCTAAGGCACTTGTTCACTGAGTTAATTTGACTTGTAAATTAAATGTTCGCTCTTTTGGAGTGATTTTCGTTTCACATTATTATTAATCTGCTCAATGTCAAAACTATTGTTTAGTTTGAAATTTCACTTTTAGTATAATTTGAACTAGAAATAAAAACCCAAACTGGACAATAATTATGGGACGGAAGGAGTATATTATTATACATTTCACTCATTCTTGTCCTACCTTTCGGAAATTTCTGACTTGGTCACGGCATATAATTCAAATTATTACATAGGTTAACGTACCATATATAGCATTGGTCCGAGGAGGAGCAAAGATGTCTTGTTGCCCAAACAACAACAGTGACGAATGTGTTGGCGGATGGATCGTTGCGTTAGTTGGTTTCGGCATTGCTGCTTTCGTTTACAGTTGGTTCTTTCTGAAGCCACTAGTTCTTAAGTTCATAAATCATTCTGCTCGAGGACACGACCTCAGAAATTTCATTGGAGCCTCTATCGTTTCACTGTTTTTCTTCGTTGTGGTTATCGTGGCATGTTACCGCGTGGTTATGTATTGCCGCAGAGCTGAAGCCAATTGAGATTGGTAACATATTATTTGGTCTTTTAGGGTTGGTTTTGTTTTTGTTTTTGTTTTTTGTTTTTTGTTTTTTTTGTTTTTGTTTTTTACTAAATATGTTTGGTTTTGTTTTTTAGGACAATACAATCCTGTCCTAAAAAATTCCCGACTTCAAAAGTCCTTTCATTTACGAGTTTAAACTTACAACCTATTGTCATTTTTGCCCTTAAAGTTCCATTTGTGTGCTATTTAGTTTTCAAGTTTATCGAGTTTACATTATCAAAGACGATTAATTGTGTATCATATTTTATTAGAACTACATCTGATCCCCAAAGTCCACTTGCCTATAAACATAGGCCATATGCATCAAGCCATAATTTACGGATTTTTCAAATATATTTTTTAAACCAAACATAACATTAGTTAGTGGTGACAATTTTTACTATACAATTTTTGAAAATCTTTGTTATAATATTTTTTGCCAGATCTTACAAATATACCTCTCATAAATAATATCAATACCTCTCATTTTAATCTAAAACTGATTAATCAAAAAATATTACAGTTTTAAGAAATATTAATAACTACATTTTTTTAAGAGAATAAGAACGGTATATTTGTAACTAAATTATTTAATCAATTCTTTCGAAATATAAATTTTCAACATTGACAAAACCGCGGAAAGCACATGACACACACTAGTTTATTTAAAAAAGAAATATTCCAATCGGATATC